GCTTTCACCAATGGCTCACTCTTTCTCTCTTCTCCTCACCCTCACCCTTTGTCCTCCTATACTCACGTTGGCCCCGTACCTCTCCCGCCTCGTAAGTCTGTCGGTCTCTCTGCTTCTTCTCTGTCGCCCCACCACACAGATCCCGTCGCTCAGTCACAGCGTCCTCTCCCAGACCAGCTTCCGGGCCGAGTACAAATCCTCCGGCGGCCCCTCCGTCTTCCAGAAGCCCGTCAAGTTCCAGGTGGACATTGCCTTCTCCGAGGGCGAGAGAGAGCGGGACAGAGAGAGGACCGAGAGGGAGGGCAGGAGGGAGACAGGAATCTACAGCGTGACATTCACCCTCATATCAGGCAAGTGGAGCGAAAATTTAGCCCCTTCAATTGGGAATTGAATTAAACTTCATAATTATCAACATTTTGGATGTGCCTACTTAAAACATGGATTTTGGGAAATGTGCTTAATTGCTTTCTGGTGGAGAGTTATATGAGAGGATCACTTTCGATATGTGTATTATGTTTCCTTTGTACAGAGCCAGACTAGCTGTTTCATCCTGTTCCCGGTCTTTATGCTAAGCTAAGATAAGCAGTAGCCTTATATTTAAAGGACAGATATGAGCATTGTATTATTCCTTCCATCCAGAAAATGAATTCAGCGTATTTCCTAAAATGTAAAATTAAAACAACACTATTTAAAGTAACCCTGTTTGAAGTACTGAAAGTTGGTACTAAATGTTTGATCAGATAAAACAGCGAAAAATATCAATAAACACAGCAAAATGTGGGCTAAAAATAGTATAGTTGTGGTTTTGGCACTGAAACTCAAGTATCATATTGGCACGAGTATCATTATTGTTGTAGCGATACTTTACATGTAAGTTAAGTGTGCCTTGGTGCATCTCCAGGTCCGAGTCGCAGGTTCAGACGGGTGGTGGAAACGATTCAAGCTCAGCTTCTCAGCTCCCATGATCAACCCATGGTGCAAGCCCTATCTGGTAAGACTGCTTATACACACTGGTGCACACGCCAGAGTAAATGAACATTTCCCCTCTTTCACTTTATCCGTCTAGGTACTGTACGTACAGCGGCAGACTTCCGTAATGATGAGACCACTTCCTTTTTTATGTGCATTTATTTTTTTCTTCTTCTCTTTTCATATAAAAAGGAAAACTTAATTATTTCTATCTTTAATTTTATGTTATGAACGACATTACCCATACTTCTGTCCTAGTGCTGGAAAAGTAAATGGTTCTGTTATCTGCAATGTCTGTCCAAAACCAGTCCACCTGTAGCTCCATGACTGTTGAGCTATATGACGGTTGTTCAAGTAGTTTCTAATTTCTTGCAAGCAGCGGATCAACGGATCATTTAATGCAGGCTATGGTGGTTTTCTGTTCAAATAATACTGTTTTTGTTTTGCAAAGAATTCCCCTGAAAGGTCATAGGCTCCCATCACCTCCTGTGGGCGAAGCCGAATGGTAGTTGCCACCTCTGACTATTACTCATTTGAACAACTGTCTGAAGGACATTTTTAATCACACCTGCAAGACACCACAGCATGTATACATTAAGAGTGACTTTCCTGTCCTTCTCTCCTGATCCCTTCCCAGATGAGAAGAACGGCCGGCCCCACGGGACCCCCACCCGCCAAAACTCGAGGCGCTCCGAGGGTGGGGGCGACAGGTGTGAGTGGGGCGACCGAGCAGATGGTGGAGGCATAGGAGGCAGCGGGGGAGTTCTGCAGCGCAGAGGCTCGGCAAAAGAGAGAACCCGACTGCTTTCCTCCAATGGAACCCAATCCCAACCGTAGGATAGAAAGTAAGATCACGCAGCAGGATGCCTGGACTACACCGGAAGGAAGACAGTATAACTTCATCTCCAAGTATCCCTGCAAGCCATGAGCTACTCCTATCCTTCCTTGAAGTTATCGAAGGTGCAAGGATTGAGCCTTTTACCCGTCATGCTTTTTTCTTTTTTTTTTTTTTTTTTTTACAACTCAGCATTCTTTTGATCGTTCGGACCACCAGGATTCCTACCCTTAAATGAGAAAGAAGAGTTAAGGAATCACCCTTTAATTAAAAAAAATAATAATATATGAATGAGCAGTTTGGTATCCATCATAGATACAGCTTCACAGATCAAACTAGGAATTTTGAAGTGCTAATGTGCATGCCAGTTAGCAAATCAGCCTGCTAAAGGATGCTGACATGATCAGATAGGCTAGTCTACCATATCATTGTAATACCGTATCTGACACCAAAAAGAAATAATAGTCTTGTGATGGTTCTCAAGATTACTCCTAAAATTAACCACTGCGCTCATATCATTATCAAGCAACATGCAAATACCAGTCCATACTGAAAGACATATAGATGTATCTCAGCAGACAAACCCTAAGAGTTAGCAACCTGCTACCACGTCAGTGTGTGGTGACAAAGCAGAACACAAGGTCCTGATTTTCTCAGGAGAAACTACATCCTGGAATTCCAGCAGTGTCTTCTCCTGAGGTTAAAGAAAACCAACAAAGTAAGCTAAGTAAGTGAATGTGAAAAATATTTTTTTATTTAGTTTTTATTTATGTTTACATGTTTCTTTCGAGGATGTCAGTAGCACAGTGATAGCAGTAAAAGAAGGTAACTGAAAACACTGTACAGTGTCGGAGAGGGGAAGCTGACCAGATGCTTTTTAGCAGGCATTCGTTTAAAGTTAAATGTTTTGATTCTTTTGTATTTTCTTTTTACTCAGAGACGATACCAAACAATGCATCTAAGATTTTCGCATTGGACCTTTGTTGCTCTGAAGAAAAGTATTTTTGATTTGAACAGAAATATGAACATTACTATATGAAAAAAAACACTATGCGTGAATAGATCCATGAACCTCATCACAGCTGTTTGTGCCCGGATTGAATGAGAAGGCCCGGCCTGTGGATCAAACAGAAGCCACCTTTCTCATCGAGCTTGTCTCCTATTGCCATAGTATTCACCTACTGACTCAACAAAATAAAACAAAACATAAAAAATAAAAAAAAACCCACAAAGGAAATTCATCAGTGGACATTTTCATAATGCCGGACTGAAAAAGGCTTGTGATGTCAATTCCTTGTTAAACAGGACTTCAAAATGGGAAGCAAGCAAAGAGTCTCCTAACCCCATGCTCCTCACTTCAGTGTTCACCAACAAGCCAAGTAGTCCATCACTGCACCCACGCTCCATCACTGAGAGTCGCACCATTCTGCAAGCAGACGTAGCAACTCGGACGGTCATGTATTACCCAGCACTCTATCAGTCGATGTTCATCACCAGTCTTCCATACAGCACAATATGCAACAAAAGTGCAGAATGTTTTCAGAGAGATACATGCACAGTCCTGTTGATTTTAATGGTATTTTTTTTGTTGTTTTTTTTTAAATATTTGTCAACTTAACCATCCATCTATTTATTTATTTATTTATTTATTTATTTATTTGGTGACATGCTTGTTTGTGTCACGTATAACTACATTTTATGACAACAAAAATATATTAAGAGCTAATTCAAGAAACCAGTTCTATATTATTTCTCAAGACCACTCTTTTTTTTGCACGCTTCTTTCCATGCATAATAACGACTTTGATAGCAGTACTGACTAGTTGCTCTCATACTTACTTCTCCAATGCTCTTTGTTTGTGTCGCACGTCGCTTTTATCACGCTTATCTCTGGAAAGTGGAATGTGTGTGTGAAATGGGTGGATAATGGCAGAGTGAGAGCGAGCTGAAAAACGTGCAGCAGGTGCATTTTGAGCTGATTACGAACAGAGATTATGACTGACCAAGGAATATTAAATTAACATAACCAAACCCTAACAGGCACATCATTTCTCCCACGCACATCGAATGCTTGCTAATTTGCATCATCTCTTGCTTTTATGTCTCGTCCCCTTGACCTGTCTGTCTGCCTCTTCACCTGTTGCGTAGCCATCATCACAAGAGAAACTGTACAAAGTTGTTTGCCTCACTGTCTGTACACACTTTATGATTGCTCACCATCACCAGTTTCATCTTTCTCATCACCAAATCACCTTCACTTTCATTGACCCAACTCTGGCTAAGATTGTAAACTATTCTCCATTCATAAGGGTCAGTAGAATAAGGTGTTTAAAAAAAGAAATGTCTGTATCATAATTTAAATATAAAAAGTGCACTATTATAACTATTGCCTGTGATAAAAAGAACAATTATGATTGAAGTGATGGTCAAAATAAAGAGAGATCCACCTTATTGTTATGGTTACAATAATAAACCCTAAATTCATGTGTGTGTCTATTTAGTTTCTTGGTTAAAATGGTGTCTTCATTTTACATGTTTCTTTTACCTTGCACTAATGCTGAAAAAGATTGAGCTTTATATACTTTTACCATCTGAATGCAAACATTTGTATTATTTGCTCTAATATCAAATAATCATAATAAAACAAACCCAAATGGTCACTATTTTCAAACAAGATAAACATGGCAAAAAAGAGCATGAAACATTGACCTTGGGAACAGTAATTTGGCAAAAAAAACTTTACTAAAGTTCTACTTCATAGCCTTTCCAGGGGCTTTCTGTCACACATTATGAGTTTCCCCACAAATTGAGTTGTTTAGAGTACTTTTCCTCAGTGGATGGTAACTTAATCCTTACGATAATATAAACTGCTGAGGAAGGCCCTGATATGTGGTTGAAAGCCCCAGAAAAATCTAGTGGACTTTAGTGGCATTTCAGGGCTGAAAATGTGGAAGGATAGTTGGTTATCTCAGTATCAAATATAAAATTGATAGTGTAAGAAGAGAATCTTTTTAGTTTAACTGTGTAAAAAAGATGAGCAATTTGTAAATGTATTAAATGAATTACATAGTCTGTCAAATACATAAATTAGTTTTTCACCATCACGTGTTGATATATAGGTTTCCAAGCCTCTCCGCCCCTTAAATGCAACAGCTCAGGCTGACAGAACTCACTGCTACTGCGTGATCGCGACATTTCCGACAGTCGCTGAAGGCAGCATCAGCTCCATCCAGGCGAGCAGCTGTAGTACAGTTGAGTCGAGAGGAGGGCCGACACTTCGACACCAGACACCAGACACTTGGTCGACGTCAGAAGTTAACAGTCGGTTCCTGCTACTCTGGACAGTCGACATTTGGCCTCAATAAACAACAACAGGTATGTTAACATGGTTCTGACAACGGTCGCATCTTTCCACGGCCGTTAAGAAGCCCGTCAGCAGCCGTTGGTGTGCAGCTAACTACATAATGGGCTGGGCACTCGGCTAGCCACAACTAGCATCAGCTAATATTCATACCTGCTCTTGTTAAAACGTCAGCTAGCGTTAACGTCCGGCTGCTGGTTGCAAACAAACGTTAACATGAACGCTAACATTAGTGTGGAGCTTTTAGGTGTGTCGATAATACGAGCTTGATAACTAAATACGTTAAAGATGATGAATGTTGACACTACTGCTTGACGTCCAAACTGTACGTTGGCGTCATTTCTTTTCTTTTTTTTTTTTTTTTACTAACGTGAAAGTGTTAGCTAAGCTATAATAACCATGTTTTTCTATTCCTGTCTGCTCTCTTATGTGTACTGTGGCTGAAATGTCACCTCAACCTTTTACATATGCCTTTATGTAACGTTAGTCAATGATAAAGTGCAGGGTTGCATGTTTCTGTATAGGGTTTACACATTAACTACTTCCATTCAGAAGTCTTATGCTTTTGAAATTCTGACATTCCTCTGCACAGTCCTGTTTTTATAATAACACTGGCAATAAATAAGACACAAGTGGCTTGCAGGCACTTTAAAGTCCTGTGTATTTGAAATGTCTGGATGTAAAGGACACAAGAATCCACTCAATATGTTCTGTTGACTCTGCTGACATACCAGTGTCCACCCTTACATTCCTTCACAGGAGGAGACTAACTTTATATATAGCTCTCCAAAACAAAGTTTGTTTGGGAGTTTTTCAGTACACCAGATAAAAGCCCTGCAGATATTAAAGTATCATTTGATGATGTGATTTTTCATACTGAAGGGAAAAGGCTAGTGAGGCATGTTTTTAAGAAAACAAAATATGACCTATCAATGGATGTCAAGCTCATAAGAGATTAGTATTACTGTAACATGGAGCATTTAATGTTGTATGTGAAAATGTTAAATCTAAAACTATATGCGACTAGTGTAGGGAATCTGTTATAGTATTACGCTCACATGTTTTAGAAGTAGCAACTGTTAAGAGCTGGAGGCTGGCCCTGAGTAATGGGATTTTCAAGTTGTGGCAAGTTCTGCAAAATGATGAAAAAGCGAGCTAATTTTATCTGAGATCTTGCTTGTGCAATCACTATCACTTGACAGTTAAAAGGAGATGTAAGAGTTAAAAAAAAAAAAGCCCAAATGATGGTCAGCTTACTTTAATATTAGTGGACAAAATCACATGATTGTCCAAACAGAGTCGTATGAAATACTTAATTGACTTGAACAGTATCCGATTTTACATTCAAAACTACTTTATTTGATAGTGATCAGCTTCTAATGAGAATATGTCCTCAGTGGCTGGCATATAACCTTGGCTAACTGTATTGTCTGTCAGTTGTTTGGGTTCTGTGGTATATTTGGGTGTTTTTGGTGAACTCAAACATGAAAATAAAATAAAATGATATATTTAGAATATAATATTATTGTGCGACTGCTTCTGCAATGTGAGTGATACCAGTAATCTGACGATATTACATTTTCACTTGTTGCCATAATGGGGCATAGTACCATAACATACAGCTTTATTTCCATCTTTTCTTTATGCCTTATCGGACAGTAAAAGATTTGTCAAGATAAGTTATGATAAGGACCTGAGTCAGAGCTTACTGACACATGAGACTGCTATATCCGTTACTGTGAACTCTTAACTATTAACCAAACCATTAAATTCTAGTTACTCTTTACTGGAACTTGCATATCATGAAAAGACATAACATTTGAACAAAATTATAATTTCTATTCCTTTTTGTTTCTTTATTACAGTTTTTATTACAATTTGCTACTATAAAACTTATCTATCGTAAGTAATGGAGTAGCAGCAGTAGCCACCTCTCCTCTCAGGCCTGAAATATGTGTCTTAAGTCTGGTTCATTGGGTGTTTTTTATTATGGTTTTCCATGCTTCATGTATTTCACTTGTACTTCCAGTGATCTGAACACCTCAGAGGTGTTAACCTTTTAACCTAGTTTACACATACTGGTCCTGCCTTCCTCTGTCCTCTAATGTTGATCCACTTGCTTTCTGTCTGGAAGTTTTTCCAAAGATGTTAAGTTGTTTAGTTCTTGTTTAGTCCTCATATCAAGGAAGTAGAAAAAAAATACAGCATTATATCAGTTATTTAGAAAAACTCTTTAAACTGTAACATCTTTGAATGCGCTATTATTTATAGCCAATTCCTGTTATTAATTACTCTATTTAATTATACTATATTTGTAGCCTAATCAAACGTATCGTTGTTAAGCTGTATCATTGTTTAGTCTTTTTATATAACACAGCTTTAAGGACATAAGCTCTAAGTAAATCGGGGATCAAAGTTGCAGAGATGCTAAGGATTACTACACTGTCAATGCAGATTGTGCTCTCAAAACATTTATTCCTGTCAAAGGAATATTGTTGATAAAATGGAGTGGCACCAAAAGTTTCATGCAGTGGCTCCGTTGGTGTCTGTACAGTCAGCTCTGAACTGAGCAGGTGTGTTGTGTTGGCAGTGAAAGAAAGGGGCTGGAATTGACTGCTGTTAGTCCTTGGCACAGGTACAACTGTATTTGCCAGATCTGACCTAAACACCAGAACCTCAATGGGACCTAAGGACGATAAGGGAATTGTGTGTGTTTGCCTTTTCTAAACACACACAACAAGAGCAGACGTGACATCCACAGGGGTGCAGTCCAGTGTCACAGTGACTAAACCTCAGGGCATTATCCATAGCCTATTTGTGGAGGAAAATCAATTCCCTTTGTGAATAGAAGCAGTTATTGCCCTAAACTAAAATACCCAATCACATAAGCAGCCAGTCAGCGCTTCCCCATCAAACTGCATACATTTCAAGCTGACTTTGCTTCTGAAAGGACTCATAAATAATGCGTCTCTTTTGAGCTTCTCTTAAAAAATGCTCATGAATAAGATGGATGTGTTTTGCCAGGCACACACACACACACACACACACACACACACACACACACACACACACACACATTTTGCAATTCATCATCAGTTTGATGAATCATCTGTAAGTCCCTTCACAGCACTTGCTACCACCTTCAGGGCTCATTTTGCCATCAGCTGCAGTGCAGTTGCATACATTAATTGTGATCACAATTCAGAAAGCATAAAGGGCATCACTGTCGGACGTTAACGTTGCTCTCTTTGCTTAAGTGGGTCATTGCAAGGTATAAAAAGCAGCTGTTGAGATGTTCTTAACCATGTGCCCTTTGTCGTAATCTGCCTCCTTGGTACCTTAATTGTGTATTATATCTAGCCCCAAACTCCAAGAGCAGGCAGGAACTTCTGAGCAGTATAACAGTGAATGAGTAGCAAACTAGCAAGTAGCAAAATATGATTAAGGAGAATATGTACTTTTACAATCACGTTAAAACTGAAAGACAGTTTGACTCTAGGCAAATAATGTATTTCATGTTTCCAGTAATCTACACCAGGCATTTAAACATGTTTGTACTGGACTGCTTTTAAATATTAGCAAATTTTAGCCACTCAATAATGCATAATGTGTATGTGATTTCCATTTTCACCTGAGATTGGTAGTTTCACTGTGTTTATTGACTCTTGTGTAGTGTTTGAAGTTTGACTCTTTTAAGGTGCGACACACCCATTCCCTCTTGCCTTTTAGGTTGTTGGCAGAATAGTTGATAGTTGTTGGCTGACAATTAAATTTGACGACAGTTTTTTGTTCATCTTTCTCTCCCCTTCTGTTCCTTTCATCATGCGCAGTAATCATGGCAGAAGCCCACCAGGCGGTGGCCTTCCAGTTCACCGTCACTCCGGAGGGCATTGATCTGCAGCTGTCCCACCAGGCCCTCACTGAGATCTACCTCTCTGGTGTGCGCTCCTGGAAGAAGAAGATCATTAGACTCAAGGTATCTCCATGTCTGTTTTGTTTGTTCGTTCTTAGTCTGTGTCTGTTTATAATAATCACAGTGACGTGCCTCTTCTTCCTTGTTATTACCGCTTTGCCTTCTCTCTGCATGGCAGCACTTGTTCAGTGTTGAGGAATCTTTCAAGTTTCATCTTGTTCCTGTTGTTCATTTTCTGCTTATTCTCAATTTGCAGGCCTGTCCTTCATTACACTGCAAGAATAAACAGAATAAACTTGAACTTGGGACACTTGTTATGAATTACTACTTTCACCTCAATCACTGAAACACACTGAATGCAAGCGTTTTAATTTTTTGTTGTCTCTGTTAGCATTTTAAGTATGGTCTTTCATGTGTATAATTCTTAATTTGAAATGTTATGTTTTAGTTTTTTGTAACGCTGTATACGGGGTGCTTCTGTAAAAGAGAGCTTGCTCTCAGTGAGTTTTTTGCAGTCATAATGTGTGGACTGGAATCAATAATGAATGCCACACATTATGACACACTCTTTGTGTGTGGGTATCCTCATGTCTTTGTTTGATCCTCACTTCCATCACTCATCCATTCTCAAAAGCAATGTGAATAAGAATTAAAGTGATGTTTCATTTGTGAGCATTTCATACCAAGTCAGACATGCACCTGCTGCAAAAACCTTTTGAATTCTGGGTAATTTGTTGTGTAAATCAGGCTAATGTCACTGAGCTTAATGCAGTTACAGTGACATGTCAGAATTGAGCATTTACATGACATGTATTCCCTTAATCTGGTCATAACTCAGTTACCAGTGTGCATGCCCGTGTGCTGATTGTAAACAGGAAGAATGGGATTTCAAATCAATCTCTCTTCTCTCACATTAACAGAACAGTGTGATAACAGGGGTATATCCTGCTAGTCCGTCCTCCTGGCTTTTTGTGGTCATAGCAATCCTGGCTACTATGTACACTCGCTCCGACCCCTCCATGGGACTCATAGCCAAGATACAGGAGCACCTGCCAGTCAGGTAACACATCTCGTGACTCCATGAAATGGTTAAAGTTAATGATTAATCTTCTGATTCACCAGACACCCCTGCCTACCTGAAATGCTCCCTTTCCCTGATTGTACGTTGTGTCACAGAGAGATCGATGTACAGTATATGTGGTTTAAATAACCTTTAACCCTTCCCATTCTTCCTTTTTCAAAGTCTTTTGTAATATTTTTTTTAGGTTTCTTTTTGTCTCATCTCTGCTACCCCCCTTGCTCCTCTTTGTTCTCTCTATTTAAACCAGATTTTGCATTTACTTTTAAAGGGAAGGGTTACTGCCCACAGCCCTGATTGGGTAAAACAGATTCATTTGAGTTTCTTAAGCTTGATATTTCTATTATGAGACAGCTAGCTGTTGTAATTTAGATACATATTTGTTGTTTATCTTCCCATCCATCCTTATTTGTGGTTTGATTTATTTGCCCCTGTGCATCTTTATTCTGTTATTTGTTGCACTCACTTTTCTTTTTTCTCCCTCTTTCCTCTTCACCCGTCTGTCCATCTTCTCCCACCATTCCCAGTCAGTCTATGAGTACCCAGTGCCAGGCGTTGGTGTCAGCGGTGCTCTTCAGCACCATGCTATGGCTCTTGCTCATCTTCACCATGCGCCTGTGCCTCAAGCAGCTCCTCTCTTACCACCGCTGGATGTTCGAGCAGCACGGCAAGATGTCCAACACCACCAAAGTCTGGGTGGTCAGTGTTGTTTCACACCTTTCTTTTTCACTTGTAACTGTAAACTAACCCTATCACACCTTTCACTGTCCCCCAGTTCTGTGAGTTAGATGTCACTGAATATTGACACTTTTATATAGTGTTGTTAAAATTACAACAATTAGTAAAGTGCAGTGTAATCTGAAGCTCATCATATTTATTTTTTTAAGAGGCGCAAAATACTTTATTTGTCTTCACGTACAACAAAGGTTTTATGCTGCAAGAAATCACTATTTATTGTTTTTAGATGCAAGGGGTAAGATCCCCTAATTTTTATGTGATTTTTATTATTTATAATATCCCGCAAAAGCGCTTGAAGAAAAAAGAAAAACCAAAAATAATTAGCCGTGGGTGTGTCCTCACTTTAGTATTTTGAGTGTGTTTTGTTTTCTGAATGCTTGTGTTTCTATGCCAGGCGCTGGTGCGGATCTTTTCTGGCAGAAAGCCTCTGCTCTACAGCTACCAGGGTTCGCTGCCAAACCTGCCTTTGCCTCCCATCAAGGACACAGTCAAGAGGGTGAGACGTCTCATGAAGCAGAGGAAATAACAACATGCTGATTACTGACCATGAAACAGATGGATCTCTTTCTCACTTTCATCATTTTGTTGCACCAAATTTCTTTTGTTATGGTCTGAGTTTTTTTAATCTGAGTGCAAGATAGTTGAGGAATATATAAAATACAACATATCTACCCTTTGAAATTGATACATATTTGACAGATGAGAGAAGATGGAATGGAAAAGAGATGGTATCAGCAAAATTATATGTGGTTATAATGTTAATTAATTGATTTGCCATTCTTTTCTATGTTCTTGTGTTCAGTAGACCATGTCATTCTGCTGGCCATTTTGTTTCTGCTGAATGATGCATGCTCAGTTTAATTTTTTTGCACATCTCTTTTGTTTAGTATCTGGAATCAGTGCGTCCGCTGATGGATGATACAGAGTATGAACGCATGAACAACCTGGCAGCAGAGTTTGAGAGCAGCCTTGGTAACCGCCTGCAGTGGTACCTCAAACTCAAAGCCCTCTGGGCCGCCAACTATGTAAGTGGGTGACCACAGTCCTCTGGTTAAGTGTGGCTACTTCTAACGTCACTTAAATGTCCAAAACGAAGCAGGCCGAAGGAATTAAAATCCCATTAACAATGTATATCTTTGTGCAGCTCTGTGATTTGAATTATTTATCCTCTCTGAAAAGGCAAGTGATTTGACTGCCAGTTGGCTGCAATATTCACCTTTTCACGAAGCTATTTGTATGTGTGTGTTTTTAATTCTTCAGGTTAGTGACTGGTGGGAGGAATATGTCTATCTACGTGGACGGAGCCCATTAATGGTCAACAGTAACTACTATGGCATGGTATGAAAATCTTTATATCTTCTTGGTGTAAGAAATGTCTGGTCTAACATGGTGTAGTCCTCACTTTGGACTCATTCTGCAAATCATTTGGTTGCCATGAGGTGGAAAAAATATGGATATAATTGTGTTACTGCTAGTTAGACTAAGACAGGTGCTCTTTTTACCTTTTTATTAATCCACACACAGCAATCTAAATATGTCTTCTAAAAATCCTCAAGCATGTTACATAAAGAATCCTTTGTTTTGTGATCAGAGCGAATAGCAATAGTGACTGAGTAATAGAAGTCTATCACTACCTACAGATGCTTTTATTTGGATAATAATCACTCACATTAGTCCTCCTCCTAACTTCCTGTCTTTGTTTGTTCTCTCTCCCAGGACTTCTTGTATGTGACACCCACACCCATCCAGGCGGCCAGAGCAGGCAACAGCATTTATGCGTTCTTCCTATACCGCCGCAAACTCAACAAAGAAGAGATTAAACCTGTGAGTTTAGCCACCAGTCAACCCCAGCTGCTCAATATACACGGAGGCGTTCATGATTCAAGTCTCGTAGCTACGGCAACAGAAGACTTGTCAATCAAATGTCTCAAATTTTGAGACATTGGGATTTCTTTGTGGAACATCCAAAATGTATATGTTCCAGTAAATAATTACAGTACAAACGTTATGAGACCATCAGTAGGTGTTTTGACTGTCTGAGTAACATCCATCCAGCAGTGTTTGTGTGTCTTGACTGTTTATTGTAGATAGAATGTGCATCTCCATTCGTTTATGTAGTTTTCATGTTTTTACGTGAAGACATTTCCCTCATGTTCTCATACCATGCTCATCTCTCACCGTTTCCTTTTGTACTCCTTTCAACCTCTCTTTCGCTTGCTTGATTTCTCTTTATTTACCCTCCTCGTTTCCTCTCACTCTTTAAAAAAAAAAAAAACGTTCTCCCTCTTTTTTTGCTTGACTCTACGTTTCCTCCGCTGCTCTCCTCTGTTCTTCTCCCTATGCCCTTGCCTTCGCCTTCTCCTCTCCGTTTCCCAGAGTCGTATACCAGGCATTGGTATTCCTTTGTGTGCAGCTCAGTGTGAGAGGATATTCAACACCACACGCACTCCTGGAGAGGAGACCGGTAAAGAGACTGACATGTACACACACTGTGGCGACGTGATGTTTTACACAGTGCTGATAATATGATACATGATACCATCTGAACATGAGCAGTTAACTTCAACGAGAGGGCCCGCACAAGTTTCTGACTTCATAGTGAGCAAAAGCTAACACACCACTGCTTCAGAGATGATGAGGCATACTGAAGGTGTCTGAACCCTCTGGAGTTTGAGTGTGGGATCGAAAATTGTGTGAAAGACTGTGTGTGTGAGTGTGTGTGTGTGTGTGAGTATGTGTGTGTGGTCTCAAGAAGCAAGGCATCGTGATTCACTGAGTCATAATATGTCTGCTGTACAGCCCGTCTTGTCATCTCTCATCTGTCTCCTCTTGCCTTCTGGTCTCATCTCAGGTCTGTCTGGGTTTTCTGGAAAGGGTCTGTCTCTAACTAATGTCTATTTTCTTCTGCCCACACATTTTATTTTCTCATCTTTTCTTCTCTGTCTTCTCTGCTTCTCTGTCTGTTTCATTCCAACATTCTCCTATATTTGTTTTCGATCGTCCTTTTTGCTTCCTCTCTTTCTCTCCCTTATTTTTTTTTGTACTTGCCCATCCTCCTTTATCCTGCTCAGTGGTTGTTGAGGTCTGCAGTTCCATGCTGTTCCTATCAATTTGAGCGGATGTTTGACACTTGTCGAATCCCTGGAGCACTAACAGGTAGTATTTATATTTCTACACATTTTTGGCCCAGTTCTAGTTTTAGATGTCAAACCGATATAATAGAAATATGCTTAACATTTTACTGTGTATGATTAAAAAGGCAGACACATCCCTGTCTCATATACAGTAAATGTTCCTTGTGCTCATCATATTAATGAGCCAACATCAGTCAATCATTTCACAAGAAAACACAATCTTTTTTTTCAGTATTGCAGGCATGCCTCTTAGAGTATGTCTTAATTTCTCCATTTGTTAAGAAGACCATAAGCATTTAGAGTCATCCTAGTGCTCAAGGTAGGTTAGGTCAGTATAAAAGGATCCTTGGAGTTGTATTGTGAAGTTAAAGACGTTTCACTGTTTGTCTGAATTCATCAAATTCAAGTGTGCTCCAGTGTGTTAGCTTTTAAGTAGTCTTTTTAAGATGACTTGTAGAGTCAAATCACATAACACCCCTCTCATATCACTTAATGTAACATCCAACAATGACCTCTTTATTCTGGCAAGAATAGGTTTGTGTATATGAGTTGTTTAACAAGGTGTGTCAGGGATGTTGTGAAAATATCTCAGGCATCTTACTGTGTGGTTGAAATACTTTTTTTTTTGTTCCTAACCTTTTCCAGTGGAAGGTACAAGGAGGTTTCCTGTTTTCCAATAATTTATATATTCAAACCTATTTAATCTGATAGCTGTCCAGTGCAAATATAATCTCCTGTTTGTGGCCAGTGAGTAACTTCACTGGAGTGAGTTAGGGGTTAAGTGCCTCGCTCAAGAACACGTCAGCTGTATTTGCTGAGGGAAATTAAACTTTTGCTAGTGCACTGATTCTGACACTTGAGCTGACAGCCTGTTCACATAATAGTGCAGGCAGAAGTGTAGACAGTTGTCAAGTTTTGAAACTTAAACTGCTGCTGCAATGGGTTCGACTCCGACCTGTGGCCCTTTGCTTGGTGTCATTCTCTCTCTGTTTAGCCCTTTTCCTGTCACTCTTCCACTGTCACCATCAATTAAAGGCAATAATAAAATATTATAATAATAAAAGTGCCCCCAGAAGTCCCCAAAAAGAAAATACAAATATAAAAACATTTACACTTTCCTCTCTTTTCTGCACTTTCTTTTACGTGCAAAGACTCTGTGCAGCATTGGCAGGACAGTGACTACATAGCGGTATACCACAGGGGTCGCTACTTTCGTCTTAGGGTGTACCAGGCAGGCAGACTCCTGTGCCCCAGGGAGATTGAATTCCAGATTCAGAGGATCCTCGATGACCCTGCACCTCCTTCCAAAGGAGAAGCCAATCTCGGTGCCCTGACCGCTGGAGATAGGTTAGTTTAACAAAGCCACCAGTGCTTAAATCACATTGACCATACAGCACACTGCAGCCTTAATTTAATGTCATCATTTGTCTCTGAAATGTTTCCCAGAATTCCATGGGCTAAAGCCAGGACAAAGTATTTCAGCAGTGGGGTCAATAAACGCTCTCTGGACTGCATTGAGAAAGCCGCCTTCTTTGTGACCTTAGACGATGATGAACAAGGCATGATGGGAGATGACCCGGCAGCTAGTTTAGATTGCTATGCCAAATCCTTGTTGCATGGGAAATGCTATGACAGGTAATTTTACATTATACACTGATCACTGTCTTGTGAACACGTAATTAGGTAAACTAGTTTATAATGTTGAAATATTGTAGTTTTCCCCACAGCTTTTAATCATTATCTTGGTTGTCATACAGGTGGTTTGACAAGTCCTTCTCAGTTGTTTACTTCAAGAATGGAAAGAACGGCATAAATGCAGAGCACTCGTGGGCTGATGCACCAGTGTTATCACACTTATGGGAGGTAAGGAACATGCAAGTAATGTAGGTTGCACACTGTCGTCTGGTTCTGGAAAAAAGACCATCACTTCGAATTTTTGTATTTTCCAGTATACCTTGGCCACCGACTGTTTCCAGCTCGGTTACAATGCAGAGGGTCACTGCAAAGGAGAAGTGGATTCATCACTGCCACGACCACAGAAGCTGAACTGGGAAATCCCTCCAGAAGTTAGTTATCCCTTCTCACATTTCCCTTAATTCCTTCACTCCTTTGGCTAATCACCATCAGATCATAATTCACATTATGCTCATACTGAAATTGTAAGATCACAGTTACTCCTTATTGAATAATTTCAAATTTAAATGTAGGTACCGTAGCATGAAACAAGTTGTCAGCTTTGTAACACCATATAACATTTCCAAGCATTAATTACAGTGTTGGACTGCTAGACTAGTGGTTCACTTGTTTGATAAAATGATCTGTGGTAAGCTTAGCTTAGCATAAACACAAAAATAAGTGACTTGGCTCTGTCTAAAGGTCAGCAAGTACACGTTCTAGCCCCTAATAAATTTCATTTAGGAGCAAGATACATCTCTGTTCATTAATCTGTATACAAACCCAAAAAACAGAAAGTAACCTGGAGTCCCTGCCTGTTGCCTAGCAACTTCACATTAACGACAACACTTCAGCTAAACTACTGTAGCTTCATATTTGGGATACAAACATGATAGTGGTATCCACCAGTAACACAACAAGAAAGTGAATAACGTATTTGCAAAAAAGTCAAACTGTTTACTGTTTCAGTTGTAAACACACATTGAATGGATTGTATGTGACCACATCGATTTGAGAGTCTAAGGACAGAGGGTGTTGAATGTTACACAGTTTGTAAAGCCCCTGAGGCAAATTGTGATTTGTGGTCTAAAATAAATTCAATAGATTTAAATTTAATTTGGATTGGAACGACAAGAGTCTGGCCAATTGAAACATACACTTCATGTGACAAAAGCTGACAAATTATTTGTAACTATAGAGAAGCTTGGCTTATTCTTTTGAAACCACAATGCAGTGGTTATCGGTATCTCAGTCTTGTTGATATTAACTGTTTGTGTGTCTGTCTCAGTGTGAGGAGCAGATCTCCCAGTCTCTGGCGGTGGCGCAGGCCCTGGCTGACGATGTTGACTTCCATGTTTTTGCCTTCCGAGACTTTGGCAAAGGAAAGGTCAAGAGGTGTCGAGTCAGTCCAGATGCCTTCATTCAGATAGCTCTTCAGTTGGCCTACTTCAGGGTGAGCCTCCCTCTGAAATGGAGCGTGTGTGTGTGTGCGTGTGTGTGTGCGTGTGTGTGTGCGTGCGTGCGTGCGTGCGTGCGTGTGTATTCACCTACATCAACACAAGGCCTGTTGTCTGTTATTCTGGCTTTGCACATGTGACATTTCAACAGAAACAATATCTAACTACATTAAATTTGGACATTTGTATATTGAATGTGGGACTATCAATATGATCTGTTGCAGAGCCGGAGGACGTTCTGTTTGACGTACGAATCCTCCATGACCCGTCTGTTCAGGGAGGGCAGGACTGAGACTGTTCGCTCCTGTAGCAATGAGAGCAGTGCCTTTGTCCGAGCGCTGGAGGGTGGAGAGGTGAGATTGTGCAAACTGCCTTCTGATTTTCAGCATTTTTGTACAGTGCTTGCAGAGATTTCTTTGGGAGGGGTGTATATGTAATAATAGCTCAAAAGACAATGATTAAAGGTTCTCTGATGAAGATACAATTCCATGATGCAAATGATTATTGTCTAATTGCCATTTTCCTTGCATAAATCATACATTGTCTATTTTTAATGGTGCTATAATGCTAAGCAGTCACGCCGCTCATGCCATTCTCCACCAGGCGGCAGAAGTGTGCAGGCGTTTGTTTCGTGCAGCTTCAGAAAAGCACCAGAATCTATACCGCATGGCTATGACTGGAGCTGGTATCGACAGACACCTCTTTTGTCTCTACGTGGTGTCTAAATACCTCGGAGTGGAGTCTCTTTTCTTGAAAGAGGTGTATTTCTTTCCTTTGTCACTTTATTTATATTAGACTGTTCAGTTCAGTATGATTATTTATCTTTTTATTGAGCAGCAGCAACTTCAGCAAACTGATGCGATGGCTTCTTGATGGATATTTCAGGTGCTGGCAGAGCCCTGGCGGCTGTCTACCAGTCAGACTCCAATCCAGCAGATGGAGCTGTTTGACATGGTCAATCACCCAGAGTACGTCTCCTGTGGAGGGGGCTTTGGACCGGTCAGTGCTGCCCTCAGTCCTTCAATCACCTGAACAGTCATTAAACTGTTAAAGCTATGGCTAAACTGGACACCAGATATCAATGCAACTTTTTCCATTGTAGTGTGTAATTCTACTGTTTCTTTATTTAATTTTATGTAATCATATTTTCATTTTACACCATACAAGAGCTTTTATATAAGTGGACACGCTCTCTCTTTCTTTCCAGTGGAAACAACCTAATCCAGCTTGAGTCTTGACACTAAATGTTTTTAAGCATTTGTTCTGAAATATTTCTTGCACATACAACACAGGTTCTTTTTGACTTTGTAAGTGTCTCTGTGTTTGGATATTCATTAAGCAGCCATGATTATAAATATTGTATCTCTTTCAGGTGGCTGACGATGGTTACGGGGTGTCCTACAGCATCCTGGGAGAGAACGTGATTAACTTCCACATCTCGTGCAAGCACTCATGTCCAGACACTGTGAGTTAAATGATAGTACCAATTGTATGCATAATAACAGTGAACAAATAAAGTTGGGGCATTTTATTTTATTTTTGTATGTGATGTATTATATCTTAGAAATTGTTTGTGTTTAGAAAGAGTAGACATATGTGCATTTCCAATTATAATCAAGCTGTATGCACGTTCAACTGAACATTACAGCCAGACTGTTACTGTATTTATTTACTTAAATGTTAATAACAGTAACAACACATTTATGTTTTTTACTCTGAGCTAAGTAAAGTTTTGTAAAATGCACCTTTTTTTTCCTCCCAGACACATTTCAAATCCTCATTCTTAGTTCTGTTTCCTTTTCAGGATGCCCATAAGTTTGGTGCTCTGATCAGAAAAGCGCTGCACGACCTGATGCAGCTGCTTAGCCCCAACCACAAAGAGCCCAACAAAACAGAAGAGAGTCGGCCAGAGGTCAAGAAAGACCTATAGGCAGTTACTCAGGGAAAAGGATCCTGAAGGGAATGTGTGAAGGCAGAAATGTTACACCATGCAGTGAGGGAAGTCTGAGGAGGGGGGGGGGGTTTCCTCATGCATTGGGGGAATTTTATAGCCAGCCAGATGATATTCAAGAGACAGCTCTATAGGGAAACTGATAAATGGAGGAGATGTTTTTACTAATTTGAATCTATATTTGTGTTGTTTGTATATTAGCTGTGTGGTAGGTGTGTGAGAGGGAAAAGGGTCCATAGAAAGACAAATCAAGAAGTGTGATTCAAGTACAGCACGGCTTATTGTTTTAGTTTAGTTTTAAGAGTCAGACCATTGGAAGAAATATAATCAACCCTAAATTACAAACGTTATTATTGTGTTATGATTTGATTATTATAAAAAAAAAAAAGGCCAGTAGGAATTGTACCACTCAAAGTTAGGAATTTCTATTCCAACTTTAACACTTCACCTTATTGCAGGGAGTAATTTAATATAAGTTCAGTAGTTGGAAGTGTGTGATACACCCTGAGCCTCAGTGCAATTAGCTTGGAGAGAAAACACGAAGGACTGTTGAGTGGATTCCAGTTTCTACCATCTGAATGCAACATTGCTGTAACAGTGACACCAGGTATTTTAAAATCTTGGAAGTCTGTGACTTCTCCGTGTTTACTCATTATCTATACATCTGCTTTCTATAAAAACACGATTGTAATGCTGTGCTGAGCGTGTCAGTCTGTTTATACATGTAGTGAAATGACGCGGCTCTAATAAACTCATAGGTTGGCATTACTCTTTGACTAGTATTATATTCAGTGCCAACTTTATTTTACTTATTTAAACTCATTCAAACTGTACATACAAATAATGTGGGTCAGTTTTCTTTCAGTGGTCAGTGAGCAATTCAGACATACCAAGTTAAAAGCTGTAACTCCAGTTATTTCACTGCCATCTATAAATCTGTTTCGTATGTTTTATTTTTTATCTGTTATTAAATAAGCACCATAACAATGCAAGCTGTATTTATCAATATCACTCAGTCTCAAGCAGTACTGCAGGTCAGATGTGGATTACACGTTAAGTGACTTGAAGTCAAAGCCATCTGATTGAAGGATGGTGTGTTACCATTGACACAGATTTCCACTGATTATTGCCTATTTTTGTTTTCACTCCAAATCAGTTGAGCTTGTGTCATTGTATTGCTATTGTCAGCCTTTTTTATTGCAATATTATGAGGGAACATAAAGTCATTCTTAAAGAAAAAAGGCGCGTTTGTTTTTGTTTCCTTAACAGCGCACTCCACATTTAGCATTGCACTCCTACAACATTGTCAGACTCGTGGTGATATGTCTTTATTTTTTGATCCACACATTCTTCCTCCTTGTCAAAACTTGGCGCCTACGTTACCCAAAATGCAGCTCTGCTACTTGAGGACATTTATCAGATTCCATGTAGCTCCTTCTGGATCATGGCTATTATAGTTATTACAGTTAACTAAAACTAAATAAAAAACTAAAACTTAAACTACGTGTAAAAAGTTGTTTTTAGTTAACTGAAATAAAAATGAAAAATAACAAACGATATTGTGTCCTAACAAAACATGAAGGTCATTGGTGCAAGTGTTTGAGACTGAGATGTCTACACGACTGACTGGTTGTACTGTAATTCCTATTCTGAACTTATTAAATGGTGCCCCTGACAAATATCCCCCATATTATAATACAAATACCAAAACTAACAAAACAAAAAACATTAAAACATTATAAACAATACAAACTAAACAAAATTGAAAACAAAATAAAAACTAATGAAAAATACTAAACTATAATAACCTTTTTTCACATAAGCAGTACTACGCCCCAACACCTAATAGACTTTTAAGATATAAAACAGTAGAGTTTAAGATCATGCTTACAGGCTTTGATTGTCAGGAGAGAAAAGGTTTGTGTATATGTAAACGGACACAGCACACCTACTGTTAATAAATGATAAGAGTGAGCATAAAACATTGAAGACAGCAGGAGAAATTTAGAAAGGAACCTAATCAGTACAGGAACAATATCTGTGCTACAGTATTTTTATGCCCATATGGATGTTTAGGAGTAATTGTAATGTCTTATTTGGCCCTGCAGATAATTTGTTAGTGGCGGCTTCCCTTTATTCCTCTTTCTTCTTTTCTTTCTGATGGAAAATCTTCCCATCTGGTTGGACTCTCCACCGAAGCTTGAGCCCTTCATACCTTTTTTGGATCTATGGAAGCAAGACAAAAATAGCATTGACACCTTTTATTCAGATTAGCTAGTTATTATGTTACTATAAGAGTTTCCCACGTACACTGACAGTGAGGAAACAACTTCTTGACTCTTAAAAAAGCAGCATTAATGTAACAATCGGTAGAGCTTACTTCGTTCAAAATGGCTTCGCTCATAGCTGAATCACTGAAGCTTGAGAATGAATTAGACTGTATTTCCACCCTCAAGAAATACCTGGCTGTCTGTGGATTTCTTTCTGTGGCTAAACAAGTACAAACAGGATATTCATCCCCTTCATAACAAAAAATAAATATAAAATATAGAGATACTGTACATGATAAATGAATCAGGCTGTAACAGATATTATATGCTCACCATTATAGCAGATGAAAGGATATCTGTAATCACAATTTCTGTCCCACCAACTCTTAGAAGAGGGACTATACAACGTACAGACTCCGTCGTTATTAGGCTGACTGCTCTCCCACATTCTGAAGGAACTGTTGCTCTTGTCCGACCATTTCCACTCATCTCTGAACACACCGGTCCAGAAAAAGGTCAGCGACGGCCCAACTGTTTGCTGTAAGGCCTGATTTTCGGCCTGGTTTTTCACACTGACCAAGTCGTGATTGTTCTGTCGACAGTGAAGTTGGGCTTGACTCCAAGTCTTCTCTTCAAGAACAACATACATCCTGCTGGACTCCACTGTGAATATTGTAAAATGTACTGTAAGATTAAAATGTTTGAAGAGAATGGTTTTAAAAACACACACACACACACACACACACACACACACACACACACACACACACACACACTGTGTTGCTACTGGGTTTAAAGCAGCTGCGTCCCCTTAAAGCTGCATTAAAGAAACACTCCACTATCTTTTTAACCATCTTTAAAACGTGGTTGTCTTTTCAACGTAGACGAGTCTATCACGAAGCATATTAGAGGTAAAGGGAAGGGTAGAGCCGATGGAGGTTCTGACCGAGGCTTGCTCAACTGTAATTGGAGCACAGACCAAAAAAGGGCGGGACTTAGGGAGGTTCATCAAGAATCATCTTTTAACTAACTAACTATGCTCCCAGTTTGTAATACAGTCTTACTGCTTCACGCCTTTAAATGGTACTCCATCCAAAATCTGTTAAACACATACACAGGTGTTTGACATATAAACCTGAAAAACCTTTTTACTATAAAGAATAGGCATGAAAATGAATGAGTAATGTTGTATTGACTTAGATTTCCAAAAATGCATGTCTGCCTTTATGTACTTATTTTGTCTGAATTTATTCACATACACATTCGTTGTATTAGGACAGACAACTGTCAAATGGTGTGACATGAAATGTATTTTATATCAAATGAAAATGAGAAGAAAACCATTAAGAAGCAGCCCCTGTAAAACCACAACAGTGCTACATGATTTCAAGTATAGGGTCAACACAGGTAATGCCTTATGCTTCCGTCCTACTATTACAGGGGCGGATCTAGATGGGTGGCAGCAAATATTGATATGATTGTTTGCAATTAAATCAGCATACATTTCTATAAGTCTCCATGCCACCCTGTTAATATTCTATCTGAGATAATAATTAATTGAGAAAAACAAGGCAACATTTTTTTTTCTCAAGTTAATGCATTACACTTTCTTACCTTCCTGACAAACAAAGGGATGTGTTTCAACACAGGATGCACTAAGCCATTTCCCATCATCCCTCATGCCTCCACAGTAGTGAGAAGAATCAGGCAAACTAGCCCAGTTAGTGTATACAGCTAATCCGTCGCTGGTCTGAGTTTCCCCCACAGACCACAGCCAGGACGCCACCCCGTTCTTTTTCAGACCAATCCAGATTTCTTTTGTCTCGCCACTGGCTGCTGTCATGTTCACCAGCTTCTTCAGGTCATCATGGCTGCCAATGGTGGCGAGGTCAGTGTAGTTTTCTCTGCAGTAACTCTGGGCATCGTCCCATTTCTTATTCTCATTTATCAGGTAGTACTCTCGAGTAACGTATGAACACAAAGTGCCACAACCTGCAGTGGTACCACCAAAACATCAAATAAAACATTATTATTTAGTTTAATTTCACAATTATTTCATCATTTTACTCAAAGACACTTACCTGAAGCTAGCAGAAAAATCACCAGATGGAGCATACTTTTCCTAAGATACAAAGGGATGTATTATATACAAGTTGCTCAAACAAACATTTACTTACACGGCTATACTGAAAAACACCTGAAATATTTGTTAAATATTTAACAGTAAAATGAGGACCCTTTAAATATCTCTATATCTCTACATCTATAATAGCCTATTTCTACTACAATTAAAATCCTTAACTGTAGTAGCAAATGTGCCATCCAGTGACTAACTTCTGCATAGCTATATCTGTAACACAACTGAAGAGCATCCCAGGAAGCGTGTGAGTGCTATTCCCCCCAGAAGTCCCAGAGATACTATTTTACTGTGAACTGTTGGTGTTGCTATAGATCACTGGTTCCCAACCTGGGGGCCTGACCCCCACTAGGGATCACCAAAGCTTCATGGGGGTCATGAGGCGTTCTGGATTTTAAACGGTGTAAGAAAACTCTTATTAAACTATACTTAAAATATATAGTATGCCTATATCTTAGCATTTCATTCATTTATGTGAAGAAAACTAAATGAAAACACTGAATATGCCAAAAATAAGCCTTTAAAGTATGCATGATTTTCAAAAATAAAAGAATGCATAATACAGAGAATTGTATAGAAAGTTCCGGAAAATATCTAGAAAATTCATCTCTGTAATATTCACAGGAAAAAATCTGCCCAAAATTAAGATTATAACTAATCAATAAATAATAATAAATAATTTTACACATACTGCATTTAGTGCGTTCACTAAGAGGTTGGAAACCACTGCTGTAGATATACCCCCAGATCACCTTCTCCCTGCTGTACTTTGTAAATAATTCTATATTAATATCTTAATTCTTACCTTATGCCAAGATGTTTCCTCTTGGTAAATGAAGTGCACTGCTGCCGGTTGCTACTCTTTCCTTCTCTCCGTGGTCTGATCATTCTCATACCCTTGTATTTGCCTTTATGGAAATACTGTTTTCAAATGATGTTGACTAGTTTGCATTTAACAAAATAATCTACCTGGAAATGCGGTTATGTGGTTATAAGAGGGTGACATAAATGTTCATGATCTGTTATTTTTACCTAATATGTGCACGCAAGTTAGTTTCCTCCCCTGAAACTGTCTTGTTTTTGCGTCGTTATTCTTTCTTTCTTTTTATTTATCTTCAGCCACCTGTCTTTTTGTCTCGTTTCAGCTGTGAGGTCAGCAAGAAACCCTTCACTCATTATCCTGCCTGTCAGACTTCAGCTTATGCTCCCAAAAGCCACCAATAATCCATGTAGAGTCCCTGTCCTTCTTTTCTAAATGCCACACACACACACACACACACACACACACACACACACACACACACACACACACACACACACATTTTAGTCCAAGTCATTTCTCTGTCACCCCAGAGGACCCCTTATATAAAGCTCTGTCTCCCCTCTAGTTGTTACTCTCCTTGTTTTCATCCGTGAACAGCCTTCCATCCATCCTTTTGCTGTTCAGGTATGTTGTTTTGACTTTTTTCTTCACGCTGTTCTTTTCCTAAAGCAATGTCGAAGTGGCAGTTTTCTGTCTTTCTGAGATATTTGCAATCAATCATAAACTTAAAACCATCAAAATAGACTAGGCTCTTCTCTTTTTAGAGTTATAATTTAAATCTGGCACAGTCTTTACATGATATATGTAGTAGTACATGTAGTATGTAGCACAGTAACTGGTATGTAGTTCTAAAATCTCCTGAACGTGCACACCATTGGTTTTGATTATTGTTTATGGACTTTGAATTACATTATTATTACTCCAAGGCTATGAAATAGTTTGCTCAAATTAGCTTGTTTAATGCAGCTATACTCAATATTCTTCATGATAACAATTCATCAAATGACTATGTCTAATATGCAAACTTGTAGTGATGAACCCACATACAGTTGCCCTCAGCACTGCAGACCTTTTTTTAGTGTCTTTCAGCTCATTGTTTTGATTTTCTGGCTCATAACATAATGTGAAATATATACATCCAAGATGCCATGTTATAATGGCTGCTCAAGCAGAAACATCTAGATGGTTTGTACTAAACATTTTAGGCCTGCAGTATCAGGTATCTTTGCAAACTCTGGGATTGACATTAAATTATAATAAAATTCAGTGGACAAAACAGCACAGTTGAACAGCTGGACCCACCACTGGGTCGGTGAGTGCTGATAAAGGTGTATTATATCTCTCACGCTCACTCATGACAAGTTATTCTCGGTGCCCTTGGCCTCTCTGTCTGCCTGTGACTCTGTTGGTCAGTTTGGCCAGAAACACTCAACAGTGGTACGATGTGATGAATTCCTCTCCCAATCCCTCATCTGCCTTTTGTCCCTGTGCCCGTGTTTATTCAGATTCACATGCTCATGCTCTGAGATCTTGGCTAAAAACTAACTATGACGGGATCTAAGAGGCCTCAGTGCTCAGTGTACCATGATAGTACACTAAAACACAGGCAGTCTGGGAGTGGCTCCAGTTATTTGCATTGAAAATAGTGTTTCGACATTTGGTCAAAGTCACACTGAAATATGTAAACTTTAGTAATCTTTAGGAACGCAAAACTTACTTATGGTGCTCCACAGCATAGTTATTATAGTTTTGTATTTTATCATTCATTTTTATTTTTATTTTGTTTTTAATTTGTGTTTTCTGTTAGTTTCCACTGCGGTTTTGCTTGTTTCAGTTTAGTGTTTATTGGTTAATGTTTAGTTTTAGTTTAATTATTATTCAGTTGTTGTCAGGGGCAATATTTAAGAAGATCAGTATATGTATTATAATACAAACATTGACTCACAGTCATGTAGACGTCCCAGTCACAATAAACATATGCACCAATACCTCCTCACGCTAGTTGTGTTGACTAATTTGACCCAATTGACAAAGACTAAAACTGAAGACATTTCCTCTCTATTTTTATATTATTTTAGTTAGTTTTGTAAGTAAACAATATCGTCTCAGTTTTAATTTTTTTCTAAAGTCTAGTTTTTATTTCAGATCACTAAAGTGTTTTTTCACACACTAGTTAGAGCTTTTAGTTTACTTTTAGTTAACTATAATAATGTTGCTCCACACATATTTAGACATCCCTTCAGTTCAGTGAGACTGCGAGTGGATCAAATGACAATAGAGGACTTGGCTGGTGTTAATAGCAGCCAGTCGACCAGCTTAATCTCTCCATCCCACATTCTCTCTTGTAAATCAAATTAAACAAGAAGGATTGGCCAGATACGTCACTGTTATCCTGGGTAACAGGACACTGCTCCGGCCTGCAGCCCCTCTGGCCTCTTCTATTCCTAGATCATTAGCTACAAATGGCTCTCCCCTTAATCTTATTCTTTGAACTAAAGCACTGACGTTTAACGCGTATTGCATCTCCAGTGACCGTCTCACAAGTCATGAAATTTGTTCACTATTTTAATTTTTGACATCAGGAGATAGGAGCTTCTATGGCCCTTAAATGGATAGCAAAGGATTATATTTTTCTTTTGGCAACTTTTGCCACAGTGGCTACAAGTGGCAATTACAGAATAACCTAGGGCACATTGAATTTCTCATAATTTCCCAACATTTCATGTCAGTTGCTTTAAAGGCGTCATCATTAGGTGACCTGACTGAGCTAAAATGTTATGTGGCACAAATAGAGAAGAGCCATAAAATCCAGCAAACTGATCCAGAAACACAGCAATACCTGTAGTTTCTAATGTTAGCTAACATAAGCCACACTAAGCTACTGGCCATTTCAGACTAAATAAGGCTGTAGCAGCAAAACTCATCAGTGTTTTTAATGGAGGGAGTTTGCGTTTTATTGTTTCTGAATTAGCTTTTAAATTTTAAGTGCTATATTGTGTTATTTACTATTCAAAAGTTACATAGTGTTGCTTTAAAGTTCCCTGAGTTTTTCCAAAAATAACATCAGACAAACCCATGTTGTTGTTTTATAGTTATAATTTTGACCATTTAAGACATGTTCTACAAATGTATGTTGTCATTACCCCTTTTAGCAGAACTACATTTTTAAATATCCTGAGAAAAATTTGAAAAATATGAGACCTTTCATATATTGGACTGATGCTGTTGCAAATTTATACTGGCAGTGATTTTTATATCTATGGTTTTCTCTCCAGTGTCACCATGTCTGATTTAGAAGATCATGGGTGAGTCATTCCAGTCCTGCCAACTCACCTATTATTCATCATTTCTAAACTTTTATGGTATAATGTGTATTTTTAATTCTTTTTTTATTTAGAGGCCATCAGGAGGGTAAGGAAATTCATTCATTAATTGAATAAAGCAGCATTTTCATCTCTTCTCTCACTCACTCAAGTGCTCTGTCAATCTTTCTTTCTCCAGAAGAAGATGAGGAGCAGGGAGAAGGAGGTGAGACAGTGTGTTGATTTTATTAGCCTTTCCTTAACACATTCAGATACACGCTATGAAAGTGCAGAACAAGAACCCCTTCAGGACAGCTTTTAAAATGTAAATACTGATTTACATTTTGTAATCCGTCCCATTTACACATAGTTTTTAGCTGATTTGCCAGTCAATCACTGGTAGCACAGTAAAAGACAAGAACTTTGAATTTGAATTCAAAATGAGCAGGCAACCTTAAGCCTTAAATTGTCTCTAGACGTAGTGTGAAACAGTATGATAAGCTGTTTATCTTTTGTAGGGCAGTTAACAAGTCAGTGGTATGAACAGTGGCAACAATTAAAAAAATAAATATTTATGCCTTTTGCCTATTATAGTTAACATGCATAATTTTTTTCTGATGTGTTTTAAAATGTAACTGTCAAAAAATGACCTGACTCACTTTTTCATCGCTGCTCTGGCTATCATGTTGAAGAAGAACGCCCCAAATACAAGTAAGCCTACATGGGAATACTCAACACCAAAGAATATCGTCTGATTTTACCACTAAATGTGTTGCACTTAAGTAAAAATAATCTTATCTTATCGTGTTATTTTACAGGCCAGTGGTCACGCAGCTAGCTGCCCCCAAAATCCCTGAGGGGGAGAGGGTTGACTTTGATGTATGTTCCTTCAAGATTATTGTTAATGGAACAATTGCATGATTACAGCATCAAATCATCTTCATCTGTGTATCCACTGTTCCCTATAAGGATATCCACAGGAAAAGGATGGAGAAAGACCTCCTGGAGCTGCAGACTCTGATTGATGTCCACTTTGAGCAGAGGAAGAAGGAGGAAGAGGAGCTGATAGGACTCAAAGACAGGATTGTACTGCCTTTCCCATGCTGTTTTCTCCATTTATTTGTCTGAAAGAGAGATTTGTCAGGATACACTGACTGTTCAGAATAATAGTGATGAAAGAGCCATGTGTGAAAGTCCAGCTGGCGTGGTTTTTCTGTTATAGGAGAGCCGCCGGGCAGAGAGAGCAGAGCAGCAGCGTGTGAGGGCTGAAAAAGAGCGGGACAGACAGACACGGATTGCGGTGATTAATGCTTAACATTGTATTACACATGTTGTTTAATCCATGCATGTCAATAATCCGCTAACATCACCCTATTTTGACCCTCCACACTATAAAAGAGAAATTTAAGTAGCAGTAATCAGCTGAAGATGACTCCCACAGGAGGAGAGACAGAGGAAAGAGGACGAAGAGGCCAAGAAGAGGGCGGATGATGAGGCCAAGAAGAAGAAAGTGCTCTCCAACATGGGGGCTCACTTTGGAGGGTTCCTGGCCAAGGTCAGAATAATACATTTGTAGGCAAGGTGTGTCACTATATACCACAAGTATGTGGAGTGCATATTTCTAGTTCCTTCTGTAAGTCCATGTGTCTGAAGGGGAGTTGTGTTGGTTTCCTGCAGGTAGAGCAGAGGCGAGGCAAAAGGCAAACGGCGAGGGAAATCAAGAAGAAGACTCTAGCAGAGAGACACAAGCCACTGGCTATAGAGAACCTGAGAGAGGATGGCCTGAGGTTAGTTTAAAGTCCATTAAAGAATGAGAATGAATTGAGTTGTTGCCAGTCGATTTGGATTCATTCACAAAAATGTGCATTACATTAGTTGTAGGAATGCCAGCTAGGTAGTCCAGGCCATTTTAATCTGTAGCCAGTGACCTCTTAGAAGGTGTGTTTAACGTTGTTGTGTTTTAGAGAGAGAGCCAAGGAGATGTGGGAATGTATCTACAAGCTGGAGTCAGAGAAATTCGATCTGACTGAGAAGATGAGGAGGCAGAAGTATGAGGTTAGCCGTTCAACTGAAAATATACGGAATTTAAAAAATTTACCATTTGTGAGGTCAGATTGTATGTTTTTTTTCCTTTCAGATCAACGTCCTCCTGAACCGAATCCAACATGCTCAGAAATTGTGAGTCATCTGCTCATTGTCCTTAACAACCATTAAACAACAATCACACACCAAGATAGAAAAAGTATTGTTGAGCACTGTAGAGAGCTACTTTGCATTGACTATGCAAATATATGATATGGAAAGAATTGCTTATAAACAGGAAACGGCACTCACAGCTCTGCCACTTTATGCACAGGGTGCAAACATCTAAGATATTATCATAAAGTGATAAGGCTGATCTCTAACACTTGCTGGTTGTTTCTGTGTGGACTAGAATTGATCATAATCTACTTTACTATTGTTTTCTTGTCTCAAATGCAGCAAAAAGGTCCATGGTAAGGGGAAGGTTGGAGGACGCTGGAAGTGAACTCACACAGGAGGCACAAAGAAACAAGAAGACAGTCCACGATTGCAGCAGTTTTGCAGTGTTCATCACTTAAGCTAAGAGAGATATAAGAGATCTATGTGTGGCAATTACTGAAATACAACCACTTGCATTGGCATCTGTATTTATTAAAATGCATGTATACATAACATTTTCTATCAGAATCATTCAAAATGGAAATCTGATTATTCTCCTGGAAAATTCAAACAGCTACTACAAACAAAAATGAAGTACTATCTATCTTCATGAAGGAAAGATAAATTCTGTCTGCATAAGAGCTGATGAAATGTGCTCTGAAGCAATGTCATCTTGCCTATCAGTTGCAAATTGTGAAGGTGAAGCTGCTGACAATGGGGAGCAGAGTAAACCGCTCTGATGACATTAACATTACCATTAACCACCTTCACTTCTTCCGTGGTATGAAAACAGCGTGGACATCATCAATCTTCCCCTCAAGCCACGGTTCAAATTCAGCCTCTAGAGCGATGCGCAACACTTCCTTTGCAAAGCCTGCTTCCTGCACTTTGCTCAGATCCAAAATGTACCTGAGATACACAGTGACACACAAACACAACTTCAATGCAAAAACCAGTTACAATTATTATTAAATGTGAACAGTGAACTTAAATATAGGATATGTAACAGACAGGAAATATCAGATACACACAAGCAAATACTCTGCACCTGTGCATTTCATTGCCACTGTACTCTTGGTGACTGTACTGTCACCATGGTAACAAGCCCTGTTACTATAAAAACCCTCACTTGGCCAACTCCACGACGAGCACAGCGTCTGGTGCTGCAATCTGTCTCATTGTTGGGCCCAACTGGTGCACGCAGCTTTACAGCATTGACAGAGAGGGAACAGAAACACAGGAATTAAACATAATCAGCAGTTATGTTAGTATTCTGCTGTCCACTATATTTGTATTTATATATTTAAATCTCTTATTGCATCTTTATCTTTGTAAAAGATCAGAGGAAAAGCTTTCACCTGGCAGAGAAGTAGATTGAGTTGAAGAAGTGTGAATATTTCTGTTTTTGTGGCAGTTTGTGGAGTGAATCCATAGGCAGGAAGGTCACAGAGATCCCATTCAGACACATCAAGTCTGAAAAGGATTTGAGAAAATGCAGTGCTGAAACCATCTTTTTTACACTGTTACCGTTTTCTGTGTGCTAAACATCAGAACAGCCTTCAGAAGGATGCGAAGTGAACTGTCATACACATACCAAAACCTAATTTGCATTTACGCTTCTTTCATGTATTTAAACATGTAAATTAAAACACACTGAAATACTACAGCGTGCTGTGTAGCTGAATTCCATTTTTCACCTCAATCTGAACATTTAGAGTTAAAAAGATTTTGAGCTGCTATTCCTGTTCTTATCATCTGGAGCCACAGGCCTGCTAGTGTTAACCATTTACCAGTGATGGTGATAGATTTTCGGTCAGTCTGTGTGGATGGCTGCAGTGCTTCAGCGTCTGACTGAGAAGTAGTGGGGCAGCCCCGTCTACTGGACAGGGACTGGAACAATGCCTGTACATTTGCAATGGAGATATCCTGGGCTGTCTGTGGATGTGAGGAAAGGAAGGGATCAGTGTATATATATATATATATATATATATATATGAAGAAACAGAGATCTAACTATAATCTAACATGTAATCCGTGATATTACTACTGTATATTTTACCTTGATGTATTGCCCATTCTGTGTCTTCAGCAGGCTCTTGTCTTCAGTTTCTATGCCAAAGGCGAGGTAAGGACTGGAAACAATGTCCCCCCAGTAGCCCCGGACAGCCACTCTGTCCCCTTTCTGTCCATAAACACGCAAAGACAAGTTCCTTCACACCATCTTATTCTGCATTGCATAGAAACATTGTTTAGAAACACTTACCTGATTGAACACTCGTGAAGAGAGCAAAGTTGGATTGGCTGTTTGGTAGACACCTTCCCTCATTTCGAACGCCAGACCTCGTTCCCTCCATCGCACATATTGCTGTTTGTTGATGGCACCACACTGCAGATAGAGAGTGAGTGTCCATTCTTCAGTGAAACATATAAACTTCTAATTCCTGTGGGTAACTTGGTGTAGCACATTTTAACGGACAAATGTACACCAAACATTCAAATACCCCTTTCTCGTGCAGTTTCATCGTAAGGTCCCAGTCGAAGCTGCCCCCCTTGGAGTTGTAGCGTGTTCCAAGGTGTTGCCTGACCCGATAATCCCAGGCCTTCGACATTGAGATAGATGATGAAGTCTGAGGCTGGATCCACAACTTCAATATCCTGGCCAGCTCATCTCGCTCCTTAAACTGTAGAAATATAAATAGACTGAATTTGCGCCCACACAGCTTCATTTTGTTCATCATGTACTGTATAATACATGTAGTTTCACATGGGTTTGACTGAGCAGGCCTCAGAAAAAGCTCAATCATAAGGTCCTAAAGGTCCAGTGTGTAACATTTAGGAAGATCAATGAGCAGAAATGTTATATAATACGCATAACTATGTTTTGATTAGTGTATAATCACCTGAATATAGGAATCGTTATGTTTTTGTTACCTAAAAACAAGTATTTTTTATCGACAGGCGCCGTGTATCGCATTACATGGTGAACCGCCATATTTCTACAGTAGTTTTTTGCGGCCACTGTAATTTGTTCTTCACGTAAGGGAAGGGTGAAGCAACGGGGTTGCAATCTGCAACTACACTGCCAGATGCCACTAAATCCTACATACTGGACCTTTACAGAAACACGTCTTGTTCAACAAATAATTGTACCTTGAGAAGCGTTGTGTTCAGGCAGGTGTGTGTGGCTGTCTCCAGTGATTCAGTAACAGACAGAGAGAGCTGTGACGCTGCATGTCTCAGTATCTCTTCTGTCTGACTGCGGATCTCACTGTTCCCAAACACCTCCAGGAATACCTCCGTCTTCTCTGAAAATAAAAAAACACATAGCAAAATATCTTCTAGCACATCTAGCGCCATAATAGCTTTATTGAACTAAATGTATAAAGTTAATAATTTCACAAAAATCCTACTTACCATTGTTTCCCATGCTTTCCTGGGGCATCAGTGCCAAGTAGAGGAGCAGAAGCTGTCTAGCCACCTCCTCCATGCTGTTTTCTATCACCCACACCTGCAGTGGGGCAGAGAGAAGAAGTTTGCAGTTCGCAGTAGGGCATAACAATTTGTCACACAACAGTTTAAGATACTATGGCTCACATGTAGGCTTTTCTTGCTCTGCAAACCAGCAATGGTCTTCAAAATATGTCGTAGGTCTCCACTGCCAACCAGTAAAACATTGACCTCCCCTTCAGGTCTCACAGGGCCTGGGCACAGAGAGAGATAGCATACAGTAGGTATATAGTTAGAACCAACAGAAATGTCTCATAGCACTGAGTATCAAAAGTTGGCATTGAATGTATGGTCAGATTTATACTCTGGTTTACCTATTCTTTATTCAGATATTTAATGATTTGGTGATGATTTTAGACAGAATTCTTAGGAGTTTGAAATGCTGGATTATAGGTCCCAAAGTAAAGCTTTAAAAAAGATATTGTGTTATAGTATCAAAATATTTCAAATGGTATCCAGCCCCACACATCTCCTGTGCTATTTAAATAGGATGGACTTTATTATTCAGTGCAATAAACCTGCAGTAGGTACCAACAGGATATTATTAGGGACTGCCAATGCCGTTGATTTAACTAGGTAACAGTTGAGTTTGAGGCCTTGATTTGGTTTGATTTGTCTGGTTTTGTGTACAAATTCATTAAATTACTATAACACATTATCTGCTGGTATAACAATAAGCTCCACAATACAATAACCACACTAATGCATTAAAATGAGCACTTATGTAAAAACACAATACAGAAGTAACAAAATGTAGGCCTCAAGTGCCAAAAGTGAAAGTACTCATTATGCAGAATGGCCCCTGTTAGTGTTTATTTATTGGATCATCATTAATGCATCAACATGTAAGTGCTACTTTAATGTTGTAGTGGTGGTCGAGGTGAAGCCAACTCCTTCATATAGCTTACTGTTGGGCAGATTAACCCATAACAGTGTATACAGCTCATATATTCTGTATGTAATATATAACTAATGCTGTAAAATGAATGTAGTGGAGTAAAAAACACAATATTTAGCAACATAAAGAAGAGTACATGAGTAAAAATGTACTCAGTTACTTCCCACCACTGCACACAACCAACACTGCTGAGGCTCTCACCCGTGCTCAGGAGGTCTCGAGCGGGACTGAAGCCCCACCAGGTGATGCAGCCCGCGCCCTCGGAGGCCCGTCCAGCACTCATCCTGCAGCGCGACCGAAAAGAAAGACAAACAAACAAACACCTAACCGTTCACATCAAGACTCAACCGGTAAGGGTAAGGTTAACGCTTAGCTTAGCACTAACTAACTGTTAGCTCATTATAGATAATTAACGGTACTCGGCCGAAAGAAGCGTATCAATAAAACACGTCTCTGTCCTCAATATGGTGATAAAACCTGTCATAAGCTGCCACCAGATAATATCACACAATAAAACACAAGGGGGGAAAAACTCACCTCAATTGTGACAACGGAGTGAAATTTACAGCTGGTCTGAACAGAAAGTTTGAGTTCTGTTGCTAGGCAACAGTGTCTGAATGGGGAAGACAAGCGCCATCTCCCAGTGATATGGCCTCACTGCAGTCCTCTCTTTTTAGATCTGAAGGCCAATAGATTATAATGCTGAAAGATGGTTGTGTAATTGTATTATCCAGAATGTTCTTCTCTCTGCAATAGCACTCGAGAGTATTTCCCCTACAGCTTTTATTTAATTGTCACAGTTAAACAGTAGATTTAATTTTAATGTAATAAAAGGAAAGAGAGTAAGAAATGCATTGATGTGAAACTGTCAATTGTGGGTTTATTTGCATTTGAAAAGATCCAGGGCATTACAGCAGGCCTTTTTAAGCAATCTGTTGCACTACAGCACTGCAAAATGAGCAAAAAGGCCCAGTGTACATTTCTTGAAATGTAAAAGCTCTACCATGTCTTCAGAGTCAACTAACATTTCAGAGCACAGTAATTCTGATATACTTCATTTATGTATCTAAATTTTTACTAGGCCCATGAATGAGCATATACACAAAATATGCACATTTACAGATAAGTGTTATTCAACACAAGCACAGAGTCAAATTGGTTTACAGTATAAGGTAAGGAGGAGGTTTTAATAACAACCAAATATCAAAAATGGTCTTTACATTGCACACATACTCACACACACACACACACAAACACACACATGCACACATTCAATTATCTCAAAATAAACAAAATGGAACACAGAACATGCTAAATGAGAAAACATCAGGATTAACAATAAGTAACACATCAGTAGTAATTGATACTCGAACAAGATACGACTCTAACGAGGTTTTGCTTTGAGTGCTGCATCGACTTCCTCTTCTGGCAGGAGCGTGTGCCACTGGGCTACTGGACGTCTGGGATTGGCAAGCATATCTGACCAGTGGCGCAGGCCGACTCCTGTAGCTCCGTAACCCATGAAGGTCTTTCCAATGGGGTCATTGCTACCAAGTTTATCGTAGTCGAACACTGTGAGGACGACCTGCACTTTCTGAAAGACGAAAGATAGATGTGTTATCAAACCATTCCCCACCCCCACACATCAACACTGTTTGTTACATTTCAAATTGATTGATATGGAGACACAGCCTACCTGTATCTGTTCAAAGGGGACTTCAAAGCTGAAGCTCTCATTAAAGTAAGGGTTGAGCGTGTTTTTCTTGACTGTCGTCTTCTTCTTTTTAATCCGTTTCCCATTTTGCTGCAGGACAATCTTCACAAACGGATCTTTTGAAAGAGGAAATTAGGGTGTTTTTTTTTTTTTTTTACTTCCTCATGACACTGAAGTTTGTTGAGATAAATATAAATATCTGACAAAGTGATAATAAGTGGCAGGAGGCTTAATTACCTGACAAGCCACCAACATCCATTTTCTTCAGGTTCTTTGCCTCCATGATGTTCACTGTCAGTTTTCCAGCAGTGGGAACATACCGTAAAGAAATGCAAATATCGCCCAGTTTTTCTTGCTGAAAGGAAAATATTCTAGATTACCACCAAGTCCCATCAAATTAAATTCAACACATCTTTTATAAAAAAATTATTTCTACTGATTTCTAATATAATATTTAAATATATATATATATTTAAAATTTTATATTTTGAATATTGCTTTTGAGTTCAAATATTTATCTTCCACAATATATCATACCTCCTCCTTCTCACCACTCTCCAAGTCTCTCCATTGTTGCATTGGCTGTCCCAAATCAACACTGTTCATGGCGATCTTTATCTCACCAATCATATCATGCTTGGAGAAACGATCAAAGTCAAAAACTTGCAGCACCAAAGTCTTTCCGCCTAACTCTGCATAGGGGATCTAGAAAGAGAAGTTATTACTACATTAGGATGTACAATAGGTGAAGGTAATCAGTAGGCAATTATGTTTACATGTAACAAAATGTACAAATTCACAATAACAAAGAACAATTAAAAACATACTGCATTGTTTTTGGGGGGAGGGATACCTTGACAGACACCATTCAAGGAATGAAAGACTAAAGACGGGAAGTAGAGACAGGCCAAACTTCTGCCTCATGAGGGCAAAAAGTGATACGTCATCAACAACCTGGAACACCAACATAAGCTGGGACAATAGAAAGAAAAAAAAACAACAGTTAACTCGATGACGATGCGTGGTACCTTAAAGATGAAAGTCTCGTTGAAAACAGGACATAAATTCTTGCGTTGGACTTTGGTCTCGTACTTCTTCTTTTTGTCTGGCAACAAAAAGACCTTGACATAGGGGTCTGAGGTTCCCCCCATGTCCATAGCAGCAAGGTCCTGAGCCTGAAGGATACCCACTATAAGCTTCAGAGGAAAGAGAACAAGTGTCAGAGTGACCAGTGAAAGGCTTGAGTCTTTATTGGCTTTGATGAAACTAATAATGATTTTGTTTTCACACAGGACCTACCTGGGAATCTGTGAAGTTGTAGTCCAACGAGAACTCCAGCTTACCCAGCTTTTCCTGTTCTTTCTCTTCTTCCTCCCCTTCCTTCTTTACTTCACCCTCCTGCAAGATAACAACATCAGTGCATTGGATATTCACCATGAACATGACCATCAGGTAAGATTATACAATAATGGGTTACTGGAAATCATATACCTTATCCCCAGCCTCTCCGTCACCTTCCTTTTCCTTTCTGCGTCGACCTGTCTTCCTCTCCCTGACTTTCTTTGGCTTTTTCTTTTTCCCAAAGCATTTTTTGAAGACACAGAAGATGCAGCAGGCCACCAAAACCAGGACTACCACAACAATGGCCGCTACTGCCCACATGGGAACTGCAAAATAAAAAGAGATAAGAAAGTTCAAGTTTCATTGTCACATATAATCATACATACACCATATATATATATAGTATTACGCAGTAGTATTGACCATATGCAGAATGATAGGAGTATGCTTATTTTGGTAGAAAGGAGTGGATGTCTAATCCCTTGATGTCCTTTACATTCATGATAACACTCAAACAACAACCACAAAAACCTCAACAAACCGACCAAAAAAACGTCTGTTTGAACCTGATCTTTAAGTAGAGATCCTCGATTTAAAACACTACCCTTTCAAACACAGGCTTTGTATAAGCTTGTTGGTCTTACACATCAGGATTTTCAAAAGGATTTAAATCTTGAGATTACATCAAAGAAAACTAGATCCACTATCATAAATCACTTTACTCCCATAATCTAAACCATCTCTAACAATATCTTTTCCAAAGCTTGGACACAGAAACGAGAGCGTAATATGTTATGTCATCAAAATAAAATATGATTAATATAAAATGTGATGCTTCTTACAACAGAAGATTGGAGGATTCCTTTGAGCATTTCTATCTTGACGTGCTGTTTTAAGCTCATGTTTATCTAGGGACAGTTTGATGACCATGCATGTGTGTTGTCACCAACACCCTTTACCACAATCTGATAATAACACACTCCCAGCTGGGAGTGGCCCTGTTCCACTGCCATAGTCACCAGTAGTGCAGTTCATCATTAAGCGCTCTACTTACAGCTCCTCAGCAGGAGCTGCTAACTGATCTAACGTTCTCATGCAGTTTTTTCTCTTCCCATTTAATAATTATTTGTATTGTGTCAAATCTTAAAAATACTCTTATATCTTTAAAAATACTGATCACGCTCCTGCATCTTCTAGAAGTGGCTTACTTGGCAGATGCCCAAGCTCATTCATAAACTTCTCCTTCATGTGGTTGTAGTCATGGCTGGGGTGATGTTCTGAATGGGGGTGCTCATGGTGTTCTGTGTGTGAGTGCTCATGGTGAACTGGCTCTGTTGCTTCCTCTGGCTCTGGTTCAGACGACTCCGCAGCCCTCCGGGCCCGGACCCCAGCGCCAACCAACCTCATGGCACCTGTCAAAACATGAGAACCAGTGCAGTTATTTCTGTGGTGTTAGTTTGTCATGCTCTCCGTCACGCTGGCCCCTGCAGTAAGAGCTAACACAACTTCGTATGTATGCTGTGTAATCCCTATGTCCATGCGTTGCAGTACAGTTCAGGACCAGAGGACATCTCTAAGCCAGATGCTCAACATGGCTGACCCTAATCTCTCTGTTACTCTCATTCTCTCTGTCATCTCCCCCGCCCCATAACCCACGCTTTCACTCCCCCGTTTGTCCCATCCCCATTTTTCTCGTCACTGTCTATGCACGTAACTGGATTAAATGCTGGCACTACAATATTAATCCAAAATCCCAGATCCTCAAAGCTTAAATATATTCGGGGGTTGGTTTCCTCCCTCAATTTTCCTCCCTTGAAGAGTTTTCTGGAATGACGACTGTTTATTAAAGTGTTTCCAAGGACTTGCAGGGGACTATGGCCAAGATTTAGGGGAAACCCTGATCTTACTATTTTGAATAAGACAAAATAAACATAATTTATATGATTTAATGTATGAAAAGCAAAAATGTTTTTTGGAATCACAAACATTTCTCAAATGTAGAGCCAAATTTTACTAGTTGCAGCTGCTTTTTAATAGTAAATGCTGAATGAAATTAAAACATTGGCATCGATTCACATTGGTAACTCTTTATCAGCCATTTAAAAGGGTCTGATGTTTTAGGTTCAGATTCATAGGAAACTATAGGAAAATCATTCACATCAAAAGAACCAGTGTAGAGATTAACCAGTCCTTTAATTGGGTGTGTTTAAAAAATTTTATTTTATCATTAAAAAAAATCTAAAAGGTCTAGCTTTTTCTCACCAGTTCAAATTTTTTGTAATGTAGTGCGCTTAATCATAGTAGAAGTATTAAAGAAATCTTATGCAGCTTTATCTTACCTTTTGATGTTCCTTTAATTCCTTCTATACCCAAAGAGCTTTCGGAGCAACTTTTAGTATTTATTGTCGCTTCCCCTTTGGCCTGTTGGAGCCCTCACAAACCCATCGTTCCTTCTGTATGCCGCTGACTCTGACTGGCAGGCTCCCTGCAACCCTTTCCATCAAAGCTAAAGCACTGGCAAATCACTAGAGCACTGTTGTGATTTAATCCCCCCTACCCCTCCTCCCGATATTAGAATGCTGAAAACACATCTGTTGCTTCGTGTCTCTGACTGGAGACGCGTAAAGAGCAACAGTTTCCTTTTCTCATTTTACTACTGCGCTGTTAAAAACTTCACAAATTTAAATGTAAACAATTTAAGACTTCTCCTTGAGTAGGAAAAGTGACCGTTCATTATACTGATGAGACGTGGCAGTGGTGGTTGTGTTTATCCATTAGACTGAGGAGATTGTAGTGCATCGGGCCCTTCACTAATCCCTTCAGCATAGCTGTCCTCGCAGTCAATCGCCAATCTACCAACAACTCTCACCGAGAGTGGATATTCCATCCTCCCCATCCCTTGGCTTACCATTTTACTGTACAAAACACATACCCGTATTTAGAGCACTGTGAGCTGTAATCCCCAGGCATGCTGCCACGTGTTTGCGCTGTTACATCTGGAGATCTTAGTGGCTCCAATCAAACATGCAACAGCCTCCTCCAGTAGTTAATTTATAAACTGCAGGGGAAAAACAAAATGGAAAAGACCAACCCAGCAAAAAATGTTATATTGTGAACTTACAGCATTTATTGCAGGGCTGTTGAACTGGGTTGCATTATATTCCCCCTGTAGTGTGCACAGTGTCTTGTTGACATGACTTTTGCTATCAGTGAGGTCAGCTAATTAACAAGACCTTCTCTCCCCCGTTAAGGGCACTCCTCTAGATTTAAAGTAGCCTATATACAACAATAATAGAGACTATTTTATTTATTTTATGTAACTCAAGACCATGGTCACATGATATAGAGCACAAACAGTACATATGATAACGTTATCAAAATGATAGCACATGGAGGGCCTAAAGTACAACAAATGTTACTTAAACAAAGGAAGAACATTCTTTAAAGAAGGCACCTAGTTTACAAATGGCTTTCAGCTTATCTGATTGTAATAACAAAATTAATTTAAACATAGATGGGTGGTGTGGGTAATACTTAAACTCAAACAAAACATGATACTTGTCTCGCACACAAAGGTTGAATATCTCCTGGTTTCTATCCAGCCCTTTGTATCTTCCAATTACCTTAAAAGTGATGTTGTTCACTCTAAAATTATACAGTATCTGTCCCTGTACTTTAGGGTTTAGTTTTCATACAACAGACACTTTTTCCAGCTTAAGCTCTTGTTTTCACATGATGTCATTCTGCTGAGCTCACTTTGTGAGATGAAAGAGGCTGAAAGATCAGTTCATACAAATGATTGAGTATGAACAGCCCATATTATTGCAGGTTGGCATTTTAACTTTTAGGGTGTACTTCAGAAACTGAGGCGTAGTTTTTCCAACATATGTATTTCAAACCCCCACACTTCACATGTTGGTGTAATTAACTTGCCAAAAAGATCTAGTGTGATATTTACAGGTAAATCAAATTTTATACATTTATCAAAAAAATGGCAAACATTGCACAGGAGGCTTGCTTATGCAGCTCTGAAATGTCAATCTTAAATGGATCATTATAATTCATAATAACTGTTATTTGAAGCAATGGACAATCTATACTTTCTCCACTGCATACAAACTTTAGTTTTCTAATATACAATATACTTATCATGATTGTTAATCTTAGTAATCTGAATAAAGGTATAAATAGAGTGTGCAACACTTTTTCCCACTCTCAAGACACATCATCCACATTCATCAGTACCAAATTCTGGATGTAACTACTGTCTGTTAGTGTTACAGTGTCATCAAAATAATGGTAATTCTGTAGTAGATAGTCCTCTAGGTCTGATAAATAATGTAAATGACAATGGCGATACATTATCTCTGCCCAACGCCTGCTTGACATGCCAAAACAAATGTTTTAATACCATGAACAAATACACATGATTTGATGTTTTTGTACATATTTACTATATCCAAGAATGTTCAAGGGTCACTGTATATATACACTACAACACAGCTCAGCCTTCCAAGCATGGCGGAGAAACTACAGTGGCTGCAAAAGTCACAAAAAAACATGAAAGTTAAGAAACTTATCCCTATCTACAGCCAGCATTTGTCCATTCATGTGCTACTGTAGAAACACCTCCTTGGAGGAGGACACCCTTCCTCTGTAGATAAAAACAGTTCAGTCTAGGGTAACAAAAACACAATTCTTATTTTCAGGCGATTATACAATCATGAAGACATAGCTATAAATATTATATTTAATGTCTGTCAATAGATCCTTCTATGTGTTACACACTGGACCTTTAATACCTGCTTTTAACAGTTTGTACCAGAGTGCATCAGCAACAGCATACTGTAATCAATGAAAGAACAAAACAGTTTATTTTTAAAACAACACAAGACGTGTTTCAGTAAAAAAAGATATGGTAACTCCTTCTAAATCCTGTCTGATTTTGCCTCAGGGTGGAATTACCCTCTCAGAACATACTTTTAATTATACTCTAGTGATGTTTTGTAAACAGTGTTGTGTGTTCTTATTCAGTCATCGTAATATATATAAAGAACTGATCTGATACGAATCAATAGACTCTCAACTGTACAATATTATATTTAATTTATATTAGGTGTGTTTCAGCATTGTGTCACCGGATACAACAGACTAAAATATGACTTACGCCTGGCTGTGATGCACTGTTGACACACTTCTGCAACTGAATCTTATCTTTACTGAAACATGTAATTTACCAAGAAGCAGCATAGGCATTTTTTAACCACAAGCTCTCTGCTAGCCTAATGTTAAACATTAAGCTTCTACCCAACATTGAGTAAGCAAAGTCCCGCTGTTATCTTTACAGTGTTCTATAGGCGTAGACATGACATTAGAAAAAGCACAGAAAGTGTGTTTAGACTGCATGACAGATCAGATGACCTTGTCTGAACAATTGTCCGAAAGAACTGGTTGTAAAGAAAAGACAAAAACAATATGTAAGCATAATCTGACTTTATTCAGTTTTTCAATGATATTGCATACATCTTAAATGATTTAAATGATTGTTTGACTCAAATTAGTATACAATAATTAAAATATCTGTGAAGGTTCAAACCTCTGACACTGGAATGTAGGACATGTGATACAACTGAGTCTAAATTGAACAAGTGACTAATTTTAACATCTTAGGAAAATGGTATTTTTTAGCACCATATATGTGAGACTTATTTTTGCACTGTGGTCTTTCAAGACAAATTGAGGTATTTTCTGTTATTTTGCTTAGAACTTCTCTTGTGCTGTAAGAACGAAGTTTGTGGTAAACTGTGAAAATGTTTTGCAATTTTCTTAACGGAAAAGAATGCAAGGTCTGAGCGGCTCTTGCCCTCTTGACTCCACACATCTTCTGAAATGTGGCGCTTGAGTCAGTGTGGCTTTTACAGAGTGTGTTTATCGAAGAGGTACTCTCCCATAGCACCCTGGGTCTCAGACGCAGTGATGCGGGTCAGACTGCCAGTGTAGTCGCCCAGCTTCTTGATGGTGTCATGGCTGTCGATGAGGAAGTGCTGCTCGAGGAAGTCACACAGCTACAAAAGAAAGACAGAAAATAGTGATTAAAGGGAAAACAATGCTAGAAAAGGGTGGTCACAAAATGGGCCCTGAAATCTTCCACACAGTGATTTTGAATACAACATATTTTTAATGTGGAACACTGTAGCTGGTTTTTCCCCATATTCACTATCTCACAGCTGAACAATAGACCATGCACAAATGCAGTTATTTATGTTTTATTAGTATACAACAAGTACAAACATCTTATATCTTGTATACAGCTTGAGTCTATAATCACAGATATGTCAGGTTGACTAATGGAAATAAAAAATAAAAATTTAAATATCTTGTAAAGCTTATAATAGTTACACGCTTTAACTTTTTTTGTTTGTACACTCAGATATAGAAGAAAGGTATTGTTTAAATAGACACTGAGCTCTGAAATGTTAGGCTTTTTGCTTACAAATTTAGATTTTTGGACATTATCATCATCTATTATTTGGTAAAAAAATAATACACAATGAATCCAAACAATACATTTTTCCAAAGTAACATAATATGAGAGTTAAATATTAAGTCTATGAGTGCCAGACTTACATGAGGGTCAGTGTGGCTGCCAGCTCTGCGGTGCACATCGAGGACACATGTGTTTAGGGACTTCTGGTAGTCCAGGGAAAAGGACATTGCATCCAGACCACCTCTCCAATCCTCCCTACTTGGTTTCTACAACAGAATGTTGATACTTGGAGTGACACATGTGCCAAGAAATACCAGTCGTAACAATGAACTTGAAAACCTGGACGTTGTGGACTTACTGCAACAGTTTGAAGCAAAATTCTGCCTCCTCTCATGTTCTGGTATTCCAGCAGCTTCTCGGCCTGCTCCCTCTCTTTCACTGAGCGCTCCAGGAAAAAACTGGAGAATTTTGGCAAAGCCACATCATCCCTGTCAAAATACATCCCCTAGAGAGATAAAAGCAACAAGTAATTTAGGGATTACAGTGAATGTGATACAAAAAGAGCCCTTTGAAAAGAGGGCAATAACTATTTTTATGTTTTATGCAAAAAACAGGATTTAGAAACAATACATGAATGTAGATTAATGAACGTTACTGTTACAGAAATCCTACCAGAGCAAGGTAGGTGTAGGATGCATTGAGCTTGAGGTTGATGAGTTTGTTGATGTCTGCTTCTGTCTCAGAATGGAAGTTTTGTTTCACCACAGACTGCATTTCTAAAAACAAAAAGACAGAAAAATGCAATTAGTGCAAATCAAGTTTAAATAAAACTATTACCTGAGTTCCAACAGGTGAGGCTCCCATGTTGTCCATAAGAAGAAGAAATACCTTTCCTTTCTCTGGCTGCTAACTTGAGCTCTCAACTTGAAGCTGTGCACGTCTTTGCTGGCCAGCTTTGATGCAACCAGTGTTTTTAACAGCGTCGGTAAAACATGAGCCAGCCTGTGGTCATGTGTTGTGAAGTGGATTGAGTTCAAGTGGGCTGTAACCAGGTGACGGCTACGCTAACGTTAGCATATTTTAGCTCTCACGGTGAACTGAAGTTGGACAACGCTAGTTCACGTACAGACAACGTTAACTCTTAATGTTACACCAAAGGCTCCGACTTCAGCCAGATTGTTGAAAGTACTTAAAACAAGAATTAGCCACTAAGTCGACGCTGACTGTTTAGCTAACGTTAGCATCTGCTAGCTAAACATTATGTAACTTCACAGACAGGTAATGTTACTTAACGCTAAACTGAGCCTGACTGTGGACGTTTGGTTAGTTTATTACAGGTCAATGTAAGCTTTATTTTTGTTACTTACTTGTTCTGTGGAGGTTACGCTACTCCAGTTTGCCAGTGCTCTTTATCTTCGTGTTTACACACCACAGAAACGAGACCCTCCCCCGGCTAACATTAGCTAGTTAGCTCTTTTGTGTGTGTGTGTGTGTGTGTGTGTGTGTGTGTGTGTGTGTGTGCGCCTCTACTGCCACCTCTTGAATGCCCAGAGTGACACATTTCAGACAATGTGAGGGTTCAACCCATAAAGAGTGTATGTTCCAGCCAACCTAAACAAAATGCCCGAAGAACTCAATTTTATACCAGCCATTTTAAATAAAAGTGACCAAACCTTTGTAGATCCCTGTACTGTAACTCAGTGGTTTCCAACCATTGGAAAGTGACATATTTTATGGATATTTCATGATATACCTGATCAACTGTACAATGAATCCAAATAGGGAACATTTTGACATTTGGCTACATTTTGAGCAGATTATTTCCTTTGAATATTGCTTTAGAGAGGATTTTTTAAAATACAATTCTCAGTTTGTATGATTTATTTTAAATTGTTTTTAAAAAAAAACAGTCATACATTGTATCTAAACAAAAGCTTTGGTGACCCCCAGGTTGAGAACCACTGCTAGAACTGACACATGAACACAAATAAAGGGCTGCAGTCAAGACAAGAATGAAGATATGAGATGGTCAGCATACTCTGGTTGATAAGGGCGTCGACATTCATTTTGACATAGCTCAGTACATTAAAAGTCAGCATATGTGAGTTGGAGGCAGGGTCTGGATGGGAGGCCAGTGGATGTCCTTGAGTGGGGGTGATGTGTTGGCAGGAGTGGGTGGATAAGAGAAGACATGTGGCACAGTTCCAATGCTGCAATATGTTGAGAATCAAGAGGTATGCACATACACCACAGTATGTTCTTACATGCTGTCAGACTTTTGATAGACTGGGGAATCGATCGTACTTCAAATAACCATTGAATTGTTTGATTTTATATTGCAATAAGGTTTTAGGCCTTTCTCTCCTCAAGAATGTCCAGACTGAATTTTAAGGTTTCGATGAATTAAGACTCAAAAAACATGAGCACCATGTTGAATATGAGTTTCACTTGTTGATAACGTTAGAGTGCATGTCTTAAAATGTTATAAAATGATCATGCAGACATGGGCCAAATATAATAAAATACAGCAGGTTTGCATGAATTTTGACTGAATATGTTTTTAAAACAAGCACTTGTTATGCTCTGTATCTAATACGGAAACTCATTATAGTTGTTCTGTTTTAGTATGACCATTTAATATTCCAGGAATGGGGAAAAGGAATATAATTATGATAGTTAACTTCCTCCTCATGTTTCCCCAGTGGACAACATTGGACAACGTTTTCTTTGATAAAACAACACTTTTATGGGGTGTTGTACCATAATATGAGACCATAAACAGTACAATGTTCTGCTATATGTGTGTTAGTGATGTTTTCTGACCAGTTCCTGTTACAGTAGATGTCAACCACAAGGAAGCTATAAATATCACTGCCTCCTGAGACAGTGCGAAGAAAGCAAAAGCAAATCTACTCTTCTGTGAAACTAGCCCAACTGAAGATACTAGACTGTGATTTAAACTTTAAGAAATCATATGCTAAAACATGAATTTTAGAATAGTTCAAAACACATATTTGTACTCAGGTACACAGGTAGTCCCAAACATGAAACATGGTAATGATAAGCATACAGCAGATGTAAAGCGATCACCACTAATAAATTTGTAAAACTGACACACTTTGGCCGTTAATAAGGAAGTAACAGGCGGGGCAAAGGTCTCTGTGGTTACAAGGCCAAAAAGGAGAAGCAGCTACTTACTTAGTCACTTGCAAATATCAGACGGGACCAGAAGGAGGACATGGTTAAGAATTAAAAGTCAACACCACTGGACTAAAGTTAATATTGGACTGTGACAGCCCAGGCACAGATAAATTCCTTGTCAGCCTAAAGTGTTGTTGTCTTTGTCAACACATCAGCGGCAGTACTGCAAATAGAAACTTGAAGTTTATCTGGGGGACAACAAAGGAATTTAACAAGGTCATACTATGTTTGTAGCTTAATAAACCGTAACAACGATGAAGCCTTTATCTTTCAAAATCTTCTCACACCATGTGCTGCTGTGTGTCTTCCTACTGTGGGTAAGTTTTTTTTTTTTTTTTTACCTTGAGCTTTGATGGTAATCAGATAGTGATCCTCTATTCGAAAGAAAGTTACCCTCAACAAAAGAAAACTATAGTGTCAAAACCACAGTGATGGCTTGATGCATGATAAAGTTAAGACAGTGGAATTACATAATTACTTAAGAATGATGGACCTTTTCAGATGAAATATGAATTAATTCTTGCTCAGCAGCAGTAATCTATTTTCACTCACTTCCTTAGAGGAAAAAAAAACATCAACACAACATTAAGGGAGCCGTACCTTCAACATTTGTTATCCTGTTGTTATATTTTAGACAAGGTTATGTAGCTGGATACTTTTTTTTTCTATTATAGTCTGCATCTATTAGTAGTTTTGATATCATGTAAATGTAGTCCATGAAAACATATCTTATGTAACACAAATATATGGCTTAAAGAATGTGATTATTGTTTAAAAAAACAACAAAACAATAGTTGTACAGTTGTGTCTGAATTTATCATTTTGCTTATTTTAGTAGCACATTTAAGTGTTGCGCTACACTAGACATACTAAATGCTGAATCGGTTTCCGTTGCCATAATTTGCATTTGAAGATCTCTGACGTTTCCTCAAGATTCCTGCATAACAATATTATATATTTGTCTCAAAAAGCTTTTTTTTTTTTTTTACCTTTAAGGAAAATTAGAGTAGAGTGTGCTCTAAACAGTTGATTATTTAAATCTCCCTATCAAGCTGTTGTTCACAGCAAGATGCAATATAATAAGATAATAGCAGAAGTTACTTTGCTTTGGGATATTCAGAGATTACATTAGAGCTCTCCCAACTGTGTACATTCCTGTTACTGTTGCCAGTGTTTTGTTTTGTTGGTAGCACGGGGTGTTTAGAATGTATATGTGTGTATGTATGTGTGCATATCTACATATATAGGTATATACCAGAATCAGAATCGGGTTTATTGCCAAGTACGTTTTTAAAACATACGAGGAATTTGCTTTGGTGTGTTGGTGCATAAAAATCGCACAAAAATAAAGTACTTTTTAAAATATAAATAAATAAAGATAAAGATAGAAAGATCTAAACTGTACAGGATAGATATTTACAATGTGCAGGATAGAAAAACCAACGGGAGTACATTAATGTAATGCATATATACAGGGTGGGTCTAACAGTCAGTGTCAGTGGGGGTATATATATGTATATATCTGCGTATACAAAATAATAATATACTGTAACTATAATGGATAGTCTTTGGAACTATTAATCATCAGCAATTAAAGTATTTAAAAGAAACTGTGTACATTCCAAAGTCAAATGAACACTTCTGGCAATTTTGTACAGTATGATTTTAGATTTATAATTTTTTTTTTTTTAGATTGGTCTTTTCTCTCTGCACCCCAATGATTCCTGTTGTGTTTTTAGGCTGTCAGTGACTCCAGCACAACATCAACACCAAGTACAACAGTGAGAGATTCAAAAGAAACAAGAATGACAACCACAGTGATCACTAGTACAGTAACGGTTGCAACAACAAGACCGCGTAAGTGTGAGCCACTGTCCTTTATCTTTGGTAGATGACAGGCCTATACTGTCATTATAGTGCCGATTTCTGTGAAGGTCAATCACGAGTGATGTTTATTATGGTTAAAGTCTTGCACTCGACTTTTTTTTTTCTAGTGAAACTCTCAGCTCTGTCTTTTCACCTCCTGAAAGTGTCAAACATGTGCATGTGCAAAAACTACACACAACACAACATTTTTCAGGGATTTTCTGTCACTTTTGTTACAGTTTCTTCTCTGTGTCGTTTTATGTTTTAGCACCTCCAAATGCAAAAGAGTTCACTTAGACAGCACTTAGATAAACTGAGACCAGTATAACTCTGCAGTGGAAAAAAGTAAATGACTTCGTCAACTATACACTTGTGTTCGGTGGAGGGGAGAAAAATGTCATTGCATATGGGGGACCTCAAGTGACAATCTCAGATCTCAAAAGTGGGACTGAATACAATTTCACTCTCTTCACTGTGTTGGAAAATGTCAGAAGCAGCTGAGTAAACCACACAACAGCCACTGGTTAAGATGTTTTTTTCTTTATTTAAGCCTACAAGAGCCAGGACAGATTCTGTAACAATATCTAATTCAAAGTTTATTATTAATAAATGAATGTTGCTCACTTAACATTTTTGACTGCTGCTAATAAAATAATGTAATTCAATGAAACTTAATTTCCTAAAAAGACTACACAAACCCCATTATTGTGGTGAAAGTCTTGCACTCAACTCTTTCTCTAATGAAACTGTCAACTCTTTGGCTTTTCAGCTCCTGAAAATGTTAAACATGTGAATGTGTTAACACGAACTGAGACCAGTATAACTCTCATGTGGGACAAGGTAAACGGAAGCTCCACATACTTCCTAAAATATGATTACAATGGAGCTGTCAAGGAGGAAAATATCACTGTATCTGATGAAGCGGCAACAGTGACACATCTGGTTACACCTTTGACTGCTGGGACAAAATACAGTTTCATTCTTATCACTGAGTCTAATGAAGTCAAAAGCACTGGATACGAATATGAAGCTGTCACTAGTAAGTGATCCTAAATTTGGAATCAGGTGTTTTGCTTGTGATTATAGACAATGCTGTATTAGTAATGATCACTTTTACACACTTTCCACTTTGTCAGTTGAGCAAAACTTGCAATAGCAAATATAGAGATATGATTGTGTATTGTATATTTACCAAGATTAATGTCTTTTTCATTCTAGTGCCGGTTGACACAGACGAATTAGAAACACTTACACAAACTGAGACCAGTATAACTCTGCGGTGGCATAAAGTGAATGGCACCATCGACTATACACTTGTGTTTAATGGAAAGGAGGAAAATGTCACTGCATCAGAGGGACCTCAAGTGACACATGAAATCTCAAATCTCATAAGTGGGACTAAATACGTTTTCACTCTCTTCACTGTGTTGGAAAATGTCAGAAGCAGCGGAGTAAACCACATAGCAGCCACTGGTAAGATGTTTTTCTCTTTATTTAAGCCTACAAGAGCCAGGACAGATTCTGTAACAATATCTAATTTAAAGTTTATTATTAATAAATGAGTGTTGCTCACTGAACATTTTTGACTGCTGCTAATAAAATAATGGAATTCAATGAAACTTAATTTCCTAAAAAGACTACACAAACCCCATTATTGTGGTGAAAGTCTTGCACTCAACTCTTTCTCTAATGAAACTGTCAACTCTTTGGCTTTTCAGCTCCTGAAAATGTTAAACATGTGAATGTGTTAACACGAACTGAGACCAGTATAACTCTCATGTGGGACAAGGTAAACGGAAGCTCCACATACTTCCTAAAATATGATTACAATGGAGCTGTCAAGGAGGAAAATATCACTGTATCTGATGAAGCGGCAACAGTGACACATCTGGTCACACCTTTGACTGCTGGGACAAAATACAGTTTCATTCTTATCACTGAGTCTCATGAAGTCAACAGCACTGGATACAAATTTGAAGCCGTCACTAGTAAGTGATCCTAAATTTGGAATCAGGTGTTTTGCTTGTGATTAAAGACAATGCTGTATTAGTAATGATCACTTTTACACACTTTCCACTTTGTCAGTTGAGCAAAACTTGCAATAGCAAATATAGAGATATGATTGTGTATTGTATATTTACCAAGATTAATGTATTTTTCATTCTAGTGCCGGTTGACACAGACAAATTAGAAACACTTACACAAACTGAGACCAGTATAACTCTGCGATGGAATAAAGTGAATGGCACCACCAACTATACACTTGTGTTTAATGGAAAGGAGGAAAATGTCACTGCATCAGAGGGACCTCAAGTGACACATGAAATCTCAGATCTCACAAATATGACTGAATACAATTTCACTCTCTTCACTGTGTTTGAAAATATAAGGAGCAGAGGCAAAAACACCACTGCAGTTACTGGTAAGTGGGGTTTTCCTCTCATATAGCAACATTTGCCAGTAAAAACATTACTGGAAATATTCTGTATTTCTTTTAAATTATATTTTGTTATAGTTTTTTCTCCATGTCTTTTTTACAACTAAGCTCCTCCTAATGCTAAGGGGCGCGAAACACTTAGACATACTGAGACCAGTATAACTCTGCGGTGGAATAAAGTGAACGGCATCCTCGACTATACACTTGTGTTCGATGGAAAGGAGGAAAATGTCACTGCATCAGAGGGACCTCAAGTGACACATGAAATCTCAAATCTCAAAAGTGGGACTAAATACGTTTTCACTCTCTTCAGTCTGTTTAAAAATGTCAGAAGCAGCGGAGTAAACCACACAGCAGCCACTGGTAAGATGTTTTTCTCTTTATTTAAGCCTACAAGAGCCAGGACAGATTCTGTAACAATATCTAATTTAAAGTTTATTATTAATAAATGAGTGTTGCTCATTGAACATTATTGACTGCTGCTAATAAAATAATGGTATTCAATGAAACTTAATTTCCTAAAAAGACAGACCCCATTATTGTGGTGAAAGTTTTGCACTCAACTCTTTCTCTAATGAAACTGTCAACTCTTTGGCTTTTCAGCTCCTGAAAATGTTAAACATGTGAATGTGTTAACACGAACTGAGACCAGTATAACTCTCATGTGGGACAAGGTTAACAGAATCTCCACATACTTCCTAAAATATGATTACAATGGAGCTGTCAAGGAGGAAAATATCACTGTATCTGATGAAGCGGCAACAGTGACATATCTGGTCACACCTTTGACTGCTGGGACAAAATACAGCTTCACTCTTATCACTGAGTCTAATGAAGTCAACAGCACTGGATACGAATATGAAGCCGTCACTGGTAAGTGATCCTAAATTTGGAATCAGGTGTTTTGCTTGTGATTAAAGACAATGCTGTATTAGTAATGATCACTTTTACACACTTTCCACTTTGTCAGTTGAGCAAAACTTGCAATAGCAAATATAGAGATATGATTGTGTATTGTATATTTACCAAGATTAATGTATTTTTCATTCTAGTGCCGGTTGACACAGACAAATTAGAAACACTTACACAAACTGAGACCAGTATAACTCTGCGATGGAATAAAGTGAATGGCACCACCAACTATACACTTGTGTTTAATGGAAAGGAGGAAAATGTCACTGCATCAGAGGGACCTCAAGTGAAACATGAAATCTCAGATCTCACAAATATGACTGAATACAATTTCACTCTCTTCACTGTGTTTGAAAATATAAGGAGCAGAGGCAAAAACACCACTGCAGTTACTGGTAAGTGGGGTTTTCCTCTCATATAGCAACATTTTCCAGTAAAAACATTACTGGAAATATTCTGTATTTCTTTTAAATTACATTTTGTTATAGTTTTTTCTCCATGTCTTTTTTACAACTTAGCTCCTCCTAATGCAAAGGTGTCCGAAACATTTACACAAAATGAGACCAGTATAACTCTGCGGTGGAATAAAGTGAATGGCATCCTCGACTATACACTTGTGTTCGATGGAAAGGAGGAAAATGTCACTGCATCAGAGGGACCTCAAGTGACACATGAAATCTCAAATCTCATAAGTGGGACTAAATACGTTTTCACTCTCTTTACTCTGTTTGAAAATGTCAGAAGCAGCGGAGTAAACCACTCAGCAGTTACTGGTAAGATGTTTTTCTCCTGACATAGGCCTACAACAAGAGCAAGAACATAGTCTGTAACAATATCTAATTTAAAGTTTCCTATTAATAGATGGCGAGTGTGGGAGTGTTGCTCACTTAACATTTTTGACTGCTGCTAATGAAATAATGGAATTAAATGAAACTGTTAATTTGCTAAAAAAAGACTACACAAACCCCATTATTGTGGTGAAAGTCTTGCACTCAACTGTTTTTTCTCTAATGAAACTGTCAACTCTTTGTCTTTTCAGCTCCAGAAGATGTTAAGCATGTGAATGTGTTAACACAAACTGAGACCAATATAACTCTGCAGTGGAACAAAGTGGGTGACATTCGCGACTATATTATTTTGTTCAATGGAAGCGATCTAAACGCCACTGCATTAGCAGAACCAGAACCAGTGAAATACACGATCCCGAATCTGAACAGTGGGACTAAATACAATTTCAGTCTCTTTGCTCTTTTTGAAGATGTCAGAAGCAGTGGAGTGTATTACAGTGCAGCCACCGGTAAGATGTTTTTTTCTCTGACACAAGCCTACAAACAAGAGCCAATTTTTGGTTTGTAACAGTTAGTGTAACAGTCATTTTAGGTCTTGCTCACCTGATACAACTAGAGAAAATATCAGAAATGAATTAAATTAAATGACATAGGATTTAGAGGGATTAATGTTTCTTTACATTACATTGCCTATTCATATACAGAAGAGTTGACAGCAGATGAATAAAATCTAACCAGTATACTGTGAAAAAAAGTGGAAAATAGGTGCTAAGAACTTGAATTCATTAGAACCCCCCAAAGCCAGTAGATAGTGACATGAACTTAGGCATCTAACTTATAACTTGTAACTTTATTTAGGTTATTACTCACACTGACAGTATTTTTAAAAACTCTTAGAAAACTTTTATTTCAATTTTTTTTCCAGATTTGAAAGTCATCCAAATGTATTCAGATTTATATAAAGTGTGGGTGTGTGTGTGATTTATTTTAATTTGGTGGTGAGTGAGTCTTTTTTCTTCCTTTTTATCAGTTCCCTCAATGGTGACTTTGGTCACTGTGGCTGAACGCTCTGTGACCCACATAACCTTGCAGTGGAACGTGGATGTGGATAAAGACTGGAGCTACCTTCTCAAAATCAATGGTGAAGATCTTTACCCAGAGACACACAGTAGTGTTATCTCAAAAAAGGTGGCATCTCTCCAGCCTGGAACTGAGTACCCATTCACTGTGATCACAATGTTCTCTGAACTCAACAGCACTGCATATAAAGACTTCACAGTAACAGGTATATACAAAACTCTAATAAGTAAATTTAATTCTATATGAATAATAAATAAATAACTATGTCCTGTTTCAACTCCCTTCAAGTTCCGGGAAACTCGATTTAATATTTAATTTACTGAATTATGTGCTAACAACTAACAAAGGCTTTTGTCTGCAATTATTTTCTCATTCATTTCAGGCATAAACTGTGCCACTGTCCAGTGGCATGTTACTAACTCATCCATCCAAGGAATGGTTAATGGCTTGTTCACGATTGCAACAGCCACTAATAAATCACAGGCTCACATCAGCACTGGTGGCAGCAATGTGTCATTCACTGGCCTTTACCCCGGTGCAACCTATGAGGTTTCTCTTATTTATGAAAGAAATTCCAGAGTCTATCCACAGTGTAACCATAGCCTGACAATCAGTAAGTACAAATCTGTCTTTCCACATAAACTGAATATTGGTCTGCATATAGAACTGAAATAATGTTCAACTTTCTAAATCTATATTTTAAGATTAAAGAGCATTTTAATGATAAAAATAGTGAAAGGTGCCCTGTACATTTTTATTATTATTTGAAAATACCTTTTATTTACATACCACAAATTAATAAGCTGTTTCTTTATCATTGCATTGGCTGCTAGTATAATTATTTTTTAAGTATCAATTAATTTATTTATAGTTTAATATTCAATTAAAAGATTAATCACTTAACACGTCACAAAATGTGAAATGCCCTTTAGTACAGTTCAGAGTTATGTCTTCAAATAGCTAATTTCTGGCAAACAGTCAAACCCCCCAAATATTCAGTGTACATATAAAACAGAGAAAAGCACCAAATCCTCACATTGGTAAAGCTGGAATGACTGTTAAACTATTAATCCATTATAATTATAGTTTTGAATTAGTTTCTTTGGATTGACTAATTGTTTGAATGAATTGTTTAAAAACATACAATACTGTGTTATTATTGTCCTATGTTGTTATGTTGGAGTACAGATTTAATTATAGGCCATTTTGATCAAATGTGTGTTTAGTATAGAAATGCACTGTATTGTTTGTGATTGTACTGTAAAGCCATTTTTCCACTTGTTTTACTCAGTTCCTCCAGATTTAAGTGCACACTGTAAATATTGGGCAGCTGGCTATTCTGTCCTTGTTGCCTGGAATGAAGCGCATGGTCTCTGGACTGAAGTGGAAGTGACCGTGATTGGACGATCAGTACGCTACTTAATTGATGCAGACAGCGAACGACAAATGACAATAGATGGATTCCAACCTGCCAGAACATATACATTGTCTATAGCTTCCCTGTCTGGGCCTGAAAGGAGGAGTCAACCATTTGTGTTTTCATGTCCCACTGATCCAAGGGGTGAGTATGTGACTCCATATTAGCATTATAGCATTATATTAGCACTTTTTCCTCATTATTGTGCTGTTTGCTGTTGCATTTTTCTTACACCACAAATTTCACCCTAGTGGCGAAACACAGATAAATAGAGACTGCTCTGTTGTGTTGAGTATCTACTTTATGTCACATATTATTTAAATCATATTTTACTCCCTGTAGGAGTCATTGGGGGGTCAGTATTTGCTGTGCTGCTTTTTATTGTCCTGGTCTGTATGGCTGTCTTCATTTTCCTTAAAAGACCAGATATTATCAGGTTGGTACTGCCCCAGTGACTATTGTTACATTATCTATCTCAAATCAGTTAACCTCTTTTTGATCTTTCCCTCAGCAGAAAAAAGCAATTTATTGGTGGTTCTAAAGTACCTAATAAAAAGGGCAAGTAAGTACACATTTTATCATCTCTTAATAATATTAACACCACTTTCAGTCCCCTACTATACCACATCTATGAGTAATGTCAATTTTTATTCTGTAATATGCACACATTGAATATTATTATATGATATTACATATCATTAGGTATTCAACATGACATGAATTATACACTTGTTATGTTTTTTCAGAGTTATTTCTGTGGAAAAGTTTCCAGACCACTTCTCACAATTAAGTGCGGATGAGAACCGAGGTTTCAGCCAGGAATATGAGGTGCATCAAAACATTCTTCCACTTCTATGTCTCCTATTTCTGTAAAGGACTGTAAAACTGCATGTGTATAGTTATTTTACTGTTTATTTTGCTTTCCGTTGTCTCAATCGCATACCGTGTCATATGCCAACTGCCATGTAGAGCCTCAGTCCTGTTGGCACGGAGCAGACACGAAAGGAAGCTCTTCTACCTGAGAACAAAGCAAGGAATCGTTTCACCAATGTCCTACCATGTAAGCCCGCCTATGACTGTTGGACCACGCTATCACAAGCAAGAGAGACTTAAATGCTCCAGATCTACTGACTCATTATTGTTGTTGGTGTTGTGGTGCAATGCAGTTAAACCATCCTCTGTTTTCTCATCCTAGATGACTGGTGTCGGGTGAAGCTAACTACATCAGATCCCAACGTGACCTCCGACTACATTAATGCCAGTTACATGCCAGTAGGTATTACTTGATAACTCACAATCATTTAATAAAGCTCTTTCTGTAATTATTGTACACCACAACACAGTGAACCTAAAAATAAAAATCTTAAGTCCTTCAGTCAGAAAGGTCTTATTTGAGAATCTTGCACCATTTCATATCTGGAGTGAGGTTTTAAAAATATCTCGAGTGAAGTTGCCACAGTTGCAAGTAAATGTTTGCATTTGGCATCTAGCAATTTATGCTTGTTTTGTGTAATTTCGTGAGCGTAAAATGTTGTTTTAGTTTATACTGAGCAATGTAGTACATATAAAAGCTAGATAAGTCTATATATTAATTTTGAAAATTGCTTCCCAGGGCTACAGCAGCCACAGAGAGTACATTGCCTCTCAGGGTCCTTTGCCCAGCACTGTAAATGATTTCTGGACAATGATCTGGGAACAAAGAGTGAAAGGTATCGTCATGGTAACCAACTGCACTGAGGGAGGACGGGTGAGTCGCCAGGGAGATCTGATAATCTTTTATTGCCAGATTTAAACATTGTGAACCATTTGTTGTTATAGATAATGTTCTGTGAAATGGTCACAGTTTACTCTCTAGTTCTTTGTGAGTTTTTAGGTCCCCACAAAGAACGGACAGATCTAGGACTGTTGTTCATTGCCATTACTTTGTGGTTTATAACTTCTTCCTTTCCTTTTCCTAGACTAAGTGTGAACAATACTGGCCCGGAGACAGTGAGTCTTGCCATTATGGAGAGCTGTTGGTCACTATGAGATCTGAGCAGCAGGAACCCAACTGGACACTGAGGGAATTTAGGGTGAAACATGTACGAAACATCTTCAATTGTTATGTTCTAACTAAATAAGTTTAGTATTAATGTATTTTCAAGTCTCAAAATTGGGACTGTGTCTCTGTGTACAGAAACATATTAGTATTTTACTGTAAATGTCCGTAAGAGAAGCTTTTCTGAATTTGTCGCATTTGTTTATAAGGATGACGAAGAGTGATGATTTCAAGTATTATTTACCAGCCACTATATTTGTTCAACACATAGACCTACAGTGGTTAAATTTCTCTATGTGAATCTTCTTCAGAGCAACAAATCAGAGGAGCGCACAGTGAAACATTTTCACTTCACTGCCTGGCCTGACCATGGAGTCCCACAGGGCACAGAAGTCCTGATCCAGTTCAGAGGACTGGTGAGACAGCACATACAGAGAGAAGGGGCTGGAACACCGACTGTGGTTCACTGCAGGTAAAGAATGAGTGCTTGTGGTCTGGAGTCATTTGTTTGGCACTTTAAATCACATTATGGTTACAAAGGTCAACTGAATAGCTTACTGCAATGATATCGGATAAAATAACCACCAGGACTTCCTGGTGACGACCTGGTTATACCTGTACACTAACTGCTTAACTTTCACTGCGTGTCTCTCTGCTAGTGCTGGAGTGGGGAGGACAGGCACTATCATTGCCCTGGATGTGCTGCTTCAGCAGCTAGAGAAAGAAAGAGCAGTGGGCATCAATGCCTTTGTGCACAAGATGAGACTGAGTCGACCACACATGGTGCAGACAGAGGTAAAACTGACTGCAAGTTGCTTGCGGCTGAGCTACTACTTCCTTAGTTACCTAACGTCCTCCAAGTTAGGTACCCATAGCTGGTGAAACAGTACAAGCACTATAGCATAGAGGTTCATGTAGTCCTATAGAAATGTGTCTGAAATGGTCTTTCCTCCTGTCCCATTTCAATTTTTACTCAGTCACTTGAAAGTAAAACATTATGTCGATCATGGGTTGTGCTGTTCATATGTAAGGGCCACGCCTTGGCATAAAATATGGTATGTAATACCTTGAGTAAGAACTGCAGTTGTGATTTCAGTTACATTTATGTAGCCTGCACTGCTCTAAGGTGTATGTTTATATGCACATTTATATTCTTTGTGACAGTTAATTATAATAAGTCTATAAGTCCATATATAAAGCTACATTTTTAAGAAGCTCTGAGGCCTGTGAACATTAACAATATGTAACCCTTAAGTTCTCCTTTTTAAATGACCGCACATTGTGGTTTATTTCTTTTCAGTCCCAGTATGTCTTCCTGCACCAGTGCATCATGGACTGTCTGCAGCCAAATGACAAGACTGAAGAGAACATATATGAGAATGCAGACATGATATATGCCAATGCCACTGCACTCCGAGAGTTTCACAAAAACGCCTAAACTAAACAATAATGTGGGAATATTGCAGATTAATTAATTAAAAACTAATTCTAAAGTCTACATGCTATATTTTCTGACTGTAAATATGAAAACATTGAAGTCTTATATATTTACTGTAAATGCATAGCACATTTAAGATTTTATTTAACTTAATTTTCTGTCTTGCATATGTCAATTGTGTTTTATTATTATTATTATTATTATTACAGCTATGTGAACACTTCAGGTGACCGAAGAATGTTTTCAAATTACATTTAGAAAGATTATGAAAATGTAGTTAGAAAAGAATGATTTCTACTATCTATATAAATAAAATATTTTTTATTAATAAAAATACCTGAATGAGTTTTTACAAAAACTGCAAACGAGATGAAAAACCTATCGTGCTGTCTCACACGTCAGTTTCAAACTGAACAGCAACTTGACTCAAACTGTGTATAACTCTCACATTATAATCTGGGTTTAGGTTCCAACGTATGTCTTTAATATGTCAGTATATCGATGAGCCTTTTCTCTTCCTAGAGCAGACGACACCCACTCTGCTCACACATCCTCCTCTGTGACGCCCGTACTCGGTGCGTCCTCGCTAATGGACACATCAGAGAAGTTAATATGGATGAGTTCCTGTCTTGCTTTTAGGGCCTCAGAGTTGATCTCTTCTGGCACTGAATGCTGCTTGCCTGGATGCAGCGGCTCAATTTTACCAGCTACAGGCGGGGGAGGGACGGAGAACTTCTTAGAGATGTTGTGCAGGACACTGCACGCCTTGATAATGTTGGACTTTTTGTCCAAAGAGCCTTCTTGTGCAAAACCAAGCTGCATCAGACACCTGAAACGCCTCTTCATGGAGCCCAGCGTCGTCCGCATGACGTTGAGGATCTTTGCGTGGGCCTCGTTGAAGCGGACCTCATTGTCGTTTGCAGGTTGTGACACAGGAGTCAAGACATGTTTGCTCAAGTGGTAGCCTTTCCCACCTTTAAGAAAGACACAGGAGAGAGCAGTTAATACAGCATCAGAGAAACAAGACCACTGAAATGTTAATCCTAAAGATTGTAATGTGTTTAAATAATGCAGATGAAAGTAAATCTGTAGTATGGATTGTGAGAGTCCAACTCAGCCTGGCCAAAAATGAATTGCATAAAGTTGAGAAACTCATCTGTACACACACACCAAGGAAACCAGCATGATTATACCAGATGTAAATGTTTTATTTAGAAGATCATAAAGCAATAATGTGGTTCAGAGCTGAATAGACACTAAAAGGACGTTCATGATTTCCATATTAAAATAGGGAGCCTGAAAGTACCAATAAACATATAGAGGAGTGGTTGTAAAATATCAGTTTTATGATGACATTACTGCATGGGAAGGTTCAATCTTGGCCTTGTAAACAGTAGTTTGTCAAAACTATTGGAGCTTTTCCCAGAAATTTCAACTACATATCGTGGTCTTCATCAGCAAAGGGACAGACAAATGTCATTGAGATTTAATAATAACTAAGTAAATTCAACTTGCTGTGAAAGACTGTGACATACAGTTTAAAGCAATTTAAAGATATGTGAGTTAAGATATTACATTACACTGGGTATTATTACTTGTTTTGGGTGGCATAAAGTCGGAAGATATAAAGCAAAATCTCTGTTTTATGTGTAAAGGGTGTTTCTGTGTTTATTGACTGGGAGTTAATGGAGTAGATTGTCTGTGTGTTCAGTAAATACATGAATGGGTCTCACATTGATCTGCTTTTTGTACCTTTCAGCATATATATATATATCTTACCAATAACCCAATATGGTCCGTGCAATTCCTCCTCCATTTCCCTTCCTTTGAAGGACGACTCCCACATTTCCTGCTCAAACGTGCTGCCCACACAGCATTTCTCTACACTCAGTATGTTGCCATCGGAGTCGCATATGATCTGGCTCACGACCGATGTGTACCCCAAAGTGTTGACAAAAGACCTGAAAGTGTCCTTCTCATAGGGAGAGGCTCGGATTTTGAAGTGCGCCGGAGCCAGCACGCCCAGCACGTTGGGAATCCCACAAAATCTCTTAACCTTGAAGGCGACATTGGCTTTGGCTTCCCGGATCAGTGGGAACGAGATGAACTGATCGGACATCCCCGCGATCACCCCGGACACCGTGCCGACCAGTGACTGGCAGTCCTTCTGGGTCAGTCCGACTCCCTTCAGGATGGCGGCCGAGGAGGCTCCGTGTGCGTAATAGTTGAGCGTCACCATGACCATCGAGTCCACGGACAGTGCGGGTTTCTTCAGCGCGACCTTCTTCATGCGGATGCGGACGGCGTCTGTGATGAAGGCGATGCAGGGTCTGGTGAGGTGGAACATCTGGAACAAAGCTTCGTCGTCGAAGTCCTCGAAACAACTCGGAGCCCCGTTTTCCGCTTCGCCTTGTCCGAGGAGCTCCTCCTGGACGGCGAGCCACACCGGCAGAGCGAAGGCCATGTCTCTGTGTGTGTGTGTGTGTGTGTGTGTGTGTGTGTGTGTGTACCGCCGCGGTGCGTTTCAATGTAGCTGTCAGACAAAGATCACTGCATTGGAGACAAATAGTAAACAGTAGCGAGTAGCATGGAAGCACGGTCTTCTTCTTTAAGAGTTAATCATTGCGCTAAGCTGTTCGCTATCGCCACCCAGTGGACAGGAACAGGAACCACAAGCATCAGGATTTCAGTGGAAAATCCCTACTGACATCTATAATTTATATATTTACACATACATATCATCCACCACTGTCAAATATAAATTCTGCACATTGTATATAGACATACACGCATACAAAACCTTGATGTACATTCGATATTTAGGTTTTTGCACTATTTGTATCATAAATAAAAATGGAAACACTTTTGTTGCTTTTTAAAGAGTATATAAATATATACAGCTTTGTTGTCTATTTTCCTGTCATGTGTTCTTTGAACTGTGAGTAAGTGCATTGAGAGCAACTAATTGTTCTGGTTGTGCAATAAAGATAAGATGTTGCTTTATTGATCCCCTCTAGGAGAAATTCCAATTGGCACAACAGTACAGTGGAATGTAGTGCAAAGAGTAAAGAAACATAATAAAATACTATTAAATATAAAATATATACACTATATACAATAAGGTAGAATATGGTATGTCTGTGTGTATATGTACATGTGCAATGTTTCTTCAATATTAAAAAGAGGTCAGTCCTCTTCCTGGTTTGTTAGTTATTTGTTGTACAGACAACTAGACAGGTTAGGAAGGTCTGATTTCCCCTCTCTGTAAAAATGCAATTATGATGAGTAGGAACACTGAAGTTCTGTTTTAAAATGTATAGTAATTCTTTAGCCATAATAAACCAAAAGCTTTTTATTACCTGGGGGAGAACTAAACGTGAAACAGAGGAAATAGAATGAACACACCATAATAAAAAAATAAAATATATTAACTTTAACCTGAATTGTTGATCTATGTTGCAGTTCCGATTAAGATTTAGACCAATCAGATATATGTATTTTGCAATAAAGTCTTGTCTAGTGCCTATTTAAAGTCATAAATTTGGATCAGATTATTTTAGTCAGGCACTAAACTGGTCCACTGTGATTTGTTGCAGCTTTACTCGTAAATGTCTAGCAGTGGACACCGAGGTTAAACTCTTTCCCTATAAAATTCAACAGGATTATTGTGTATATAAAGATATCAATTTCCAGTTTAATTCCAGAGTCAGGAAACAGGCAGAAAACATCACTACAGATACAACCTGTTCCAACTTCTCCCCTCTGGTGGGCGCTACAGAGCTCTGTACGCAACAACAAACAGACACAGGAACAGTTTCTCTACTACTGCACCTGTAAACTATTTATTTTTCCATTTTAAAACATAAATATAATCATTCAAATACATCTACCCATGCTGTGCATACTGCATATACTGTACATACTGTATATATTGTATGTACTGTATTTACGGTTATGTCATAACCGCCTACCTCATGTACATAAAGAAACCTGCACGTAAATATTTATTTCACCATCCTCTGCACCATTGTCTGTCTACAAAAGTTGTTTGTTTGTTTGTTTCTGTATAACTGTAAATAGTAGTTTGTCTATTTTGTTCAGTCCTGTTTATTTATGCTGTTAGTCTGTGTTTGTACATTGAGAGCAACGTAAAAAAACAAATTCCTTATATGTGTGCACATACCTGGCCAGTGATTCTGATTCTGATATCAAAGTTTATTTATTTCATATGATAATAATGTTTTCAAATGTGTAATTATTGCACAAAACACACACACACATATATATATAAAAAGTACGTCATTTATTGAATATAATAATATGCTCCCTTTTTAATCCAATGAACAAGTTGAACTGACAATAGGTTGTTTGTGATATTGTTTTACATCACATTCAACATATCATTGCTATTAATATGCACACAGGCAATTATTTTGTCCAATAAAGAAAATGTAAATTAAGTTAAATAAATCTTTCTGCCCATGTTGAATTTCTCTTGAATACATAAAGCATAGCAGCAGCTTCACGTCTACTATACCTCCAGCTAAAATCAATTTCTGCTTGTCATTGCTGGGGTGACAAATAGAACATTCTGTTGACTTCGCTAATGGAAACATCTCCCAGTTGGGGTATTCCTCCCTTCTGACAGTCTTTTGTCCTTTGGCCTTGAGCATACACATCTGTGATAGAAAGGAGACATCCAAGGGTGTTAAGATCGGGAACTTCGGGAACACCATGAGAAAATGCTCTTCACATTTAAGTGTTATACTGTACATTAATTACAGTATTAATATCAGCAGACACTGTAGTCCAGACTGTCAGCAGTCCAACCAGCAGGTCACAGTTAGCTTAACGTCCTCACCTGTGATGTTGTCCACGGAGTCGAGTGGAGCCGTGTTGTTCATGTTAACTCCGAACAGCAACACCGCCGTGATCGTTATTGCAACAAGCAGATAGATCGGCACAGCGAGGGCCCAATATCTACAAAAGACAACATGTATAAGTTAACAGATCAGAAACTTCTCATTTGAATATTTCTTATATTATTTTAAATATTTATTTAAACTGTCAAGAGAGGGAACCTTTTATTGAACTACTCTCTGATCATACAGTTCTACTTACTTTTGAGGCCAGTAAGTGAGTCCTATTGAATGAAGCCACTCCTCTGGTATAAATGCCCACAAACAATACAGAACTGTGGAGAGAAGAAAGTAGATGTCATATTGCAGATATGGTTGACAGGTTTTTTTTTGTTTGAATACCTATTCACACTGTTTCACACTGGGGGATCAAAGATTGGACACACACACACACACACACACACACACACACACACACACACACACACACACACACACACAGCCAGTGTTAATGCAAGCGCAATCATCGTAATCTGACAGTGTGTGTGTTGAATGGCTACATCTGACTCATTTTGTGTGTTTGTGTCTGAATTTTAAAAAGTTTTAAGTAGACGTGTGGAGTATTTAACCAAAGCAGACGCAGATAAAATGAACAATGTTTCTCCTTCAGTAAATTAAATGAATATTCACTGTATTTCATTTAAAAACTGAGGATGGCCTACTTATCACAGCATGTCACACAGATATATAAAATGTGTTGTTTTTTTTAAATATTTGTGACAGTTTTTTAATTGACCACAAGCAGAAATAAATTACATATATGACAACAATGGCACCAACTGAGTTATCCTCACTTAGTTTTGTCTTTTTTTAAGGTTTCCAGCCAATTACAAGCTTTTCACATGACTTATTTTACCTATGAAACCAAAGAGATATTACTTAATTCATGCTGTTGTGTCTTGGATAAAAGATTAAGGGTTTGTTAGTCCTGTTAAACCATTTTTCAAAAGGTAACCAGGTATTTTAGTTTCAGAAAAACAGATGCTTAGCTCTGTGACTCTATGCAATGTAATGATAACATATGAGAAGAATACATTGGGGCTATATTTTCTTTAGGCCACTGTAATAACGTCTATGCCGTTGTATTGAACATTAAATTGTATAAACACTCAATGTCTCAGCTGTATTTCCCATTTTATGTTTAATATTTGAATACTGGAAGAGTGAAATGACAATATTTTACTTACTGAAGCCAAACTGTGAGCCAAGGAAAAGAACAAACCCATAAATGGCCCTCTCAGGCAGGGGAGAGGGAGAGTTTTCCACCATAATCTGAAAGCACAACAAACACAGAGGAAGCTTCAGTGAGGAAGAGTCACAACTAAAGCAATATGTGAAAGTTAGCTCGAGTTAAATACCTGTTAATACGTTTAGCTCTGGTTCATGTAGCAGTACAAACTAGTGCTCACGTTAAACTGAACTTTAGTTGTTTACTAAGGCGACCGCAACGCGACACGTTGATCAAAACATGTCAAATTAAAGAGTAATATAAGTTAAAAAGACGTTTTAATTACAGTTTCTGACCAAAACCATAATTATTCTCTCTGAAACATTGCAGCTGACTGTCAAACAAACATCGTCGATGTCCGATGTGATAGTCGGTCCGGTGTGAAACGTGTTTCCAGAAAGCTTTTCCACATTACGAATAAGAAGTAAAATAAACAGCAAAACATATATTTTAAAACGGTTTTCATACAATATATAAGTTGCAGTGGACGTGAGGTTAAAAAAACGACACCGTGGTCTTTGATAGCTTCGCTTAGTAACTAACTGGGTGCGTTTGAGTTACCATTTCATGTTGTTGCCGGACACATTTGGCAGGTACACACTTCGGAAATACACATTTCAGCATGGCTTTGGATCACCTGGAGTGTGGAGAGTGTACTGGGCTTCTCTCTCCGCAGCTACGGACTGTATCCGAACAATTCATCTGCGTCTGTGCCGCTACATGGTAAACTTTTTCCGGGGAAACACTTCTTGGTGACACGGTACCAACCGGTACTTCTTTAACGTTACCTAGTAACCGAGTGACGGAGCTCTGACGGCCCAGCGTGGCTGAGGACGCTTCACAGACTTTACAGACTAATACACAAATAATGCAAAACATTCCCCCGAAAGTGGCCAAAATGTCAAAGGTGAAGGCGAAGAAGACGTCTGCTAAATCACAACAACCCAAATCCGCGGACACAAATAACACAGCGAGGAAGAAAAGGAAAGAGTGGATGAAAGAGAAGTTCAGGAAGGTGAAACCTCCACCCAAGGACCAACCAAAAGCTAAAACTCAGCAAACATTGCCTCCAAAAGATGCCCAACAGTTCTCTGCAAACTGGAAAACATTACAAGAGGTTTGTCATTTTTAAGAGTTTGATCTGTCTCTGTAGCTTGTTTATGTACATGTCGTACCTGTGTATTAGAACTTGAGCACATTCACTACTTCCCTGAAGATGATTCACAACTTTGCTTAACTCTCCACAGCTGCTAAAGGTCAGTCAACCAGAGAAGAAGCAGCCGGTGACACCAAAACATCCAAACGGGGCTCTGCAGAAAAAGGAGGCTAAAGAAAATTCTTCTAAAAATACTTGCAAGAACAATGTCTGTCCCAGGCAGACAGACATGGAGAAAAAAGTGAAGCATGAGCCGGTTCCTAACAGTGTTGTCCCCAAGGACTCTCGGGCGAACTTGGATGTTCCAGGTGTCTCAGAGACGAGACAGCCTGCTGCTCCAAAAAGGAAAAAGGACAGTGGAAAGTCAAACAGCGAGCAGGCGGCCAAGAAGAAGAAATCTGTGGCTGAAGAGACGAAACCGACAGAGTAAGTATACAGCCCTAACACCTGCTAATACTGAGGTCAAGAAGAACTGTGCCTACTCATAATGTTTTCCTGTGTTTTTGTAGAGCGGACCTTTGGTTTGATGATGTAGACCCTGACGACATTGAGGCAACAGTGGGAGCAGAGGCAGCAGACATCATGAGGAAGAAGCAGGGCGTTCAGAAGAGCAAGGACACAGAGAGCGCCCTGGTCAAGGAGAAAGCCTTTGAGGGGTGAGTGGTAAAGTGTCCACTTGTAGACCCACAGATGTGCTTCAAGAGACTCCATGTCAAACTGGTAAAAGTGTAATAAGTCACTACGTTTGGACTGAGAGAGGCTACCTGTTCCCCCTGCATCCAGTCTTCATGCTGAGCTAAGCTAAGCTGACTGGCTGCTGTCTGTAGCTCTATATTTATATATTTATTTATTTATTTATTTAGACTTGCCAACAGTGTCCCAGTGGTCTTCCAGTCCCTTATCAAAGTCCATTAACAGGCTGGCAGCCGGCTCCATGTTCAGCAAATCCAAATATTCCCCCAACAGTTCTTCCCACATTGTTGTTTAGTCTTTGATCTAGCAGGCATGCTGCGGGACATATTGGGAATTCACCATTAAAAAAATCTGACATGAGGGATATTGCTTCCGCCCATAGTGTTTTGACAGCTGGACAGTCCCAAAGTAGACGGAGTAATGTGCCTTGTTTACAACAATTATACCAACATGAACCTTGGTGCTTGTCATCCATCTTGGATAATCTAACAGGGGTGATATATGCTCAACATGCTAAATATTTGACACTGTCCCTCGTGACAAGGTAGCCCTCTTAAGAAGCTGCTCCCACTCTAAATATGAAGCTGGCACAGCTCCTTCTTTGCATTTCCTATTTATGGCAGAGGATAGTTGTGCATATGTTAAAAAAAGATGAGTCTAGTTGTTTAAATGAGACAATGTTATTGCTATAGATCTGACCGACTGTTAGAGTTCCTCTCCCACATTTTGTCACCTGAAGTGCTCCTCCAGCTGTGAGGCTCTAATAATGCCAGATGTGGCAGGATGGGAGAGCAAGCCACTCGATTTTAAATCTCCTAGGTGCTGCTTAACAATAGAGCATTAAAAACTAATCATGGTGTTATCCAATAAGGGTGGGGGTCTTAGACTATACCACAATGACGCCAAGAATATGATCTTATTACCGGATATAGTTGACTTTTCCAAACGCCGCATTCATAAACCCAAGACAGTGGATATTTTGCATTACATGCTAGATAATACTGATATACATCTGGAACTCCTAATCCCCCACCTGTGTCTGGGAATGATTAATTTTGTCTAAGAAATTCTGGGCTTTTTGTTATTCCATAGGAATTTAAGAGGAATAGTTGCAATAATATGATAGCCATTAGCCTTTTTTTAACAAACAGACATTGAATGGCATCAATCCTCTTATCTAATGTCACACAACTATTTTCCCTGGCGTATCATACTGGTTTTAGATGGTGAATGAATTTTCTTTACCGTCCAGACAGACGTTGGTTTCCATGTAGTTTGTAACAGCATGAAATCAACTTGCAGTGGCATAAAACTCAAAATGCCTTCTTGGTGGTATTCAAGTGTTTTTTTCCTTCATCTTTGGAATCAGCTTACAAAAAGCTAATAATGATTCTATTTGCATTTACAGCAGCCTTTAGTGACCATAAAATACATACATTGGTGGATACATTGTTTTTATGTTTAGTGCGAGAAGAAAGAGTTAAAAAACATACTTTTTAATGATGATACAACCAATCCAGCAAAAGTGACAGCCATGAATAAAACTGTCTTAACAATGTGTTCTTTAGCCTCACCAGAGCCGTGGCCATTGATTGCGAGATGGTGGGAGTCGGTCCTGACGGAGAGGAGAGCATCTTGGCTCGCGTGTCCCTTGTGAACCAGTTTGGTAAATGCATCTATGACAAATACGTGAAACCCACAGAGAAGGTGACGGACTACAGGACAGCCTTCAGTGGCATCCGGCCGGAAGACATCAAAGATGGTGAGTCGCGAAAGTAGTTGCAATGAGGAACTGAAACGAGTCATGATTTAATTGCTTTAATGTCGTTTTCATGTACTTTCAACTCCATCATTTGTCATCCACATTGCAGGAGAGGATGTAAAGACTGTGCAGAAGGAGGTTGCTGAGATCCTGCAAGGGAGAATAGTGGTTGGACATGCCATACACAATGACTTAAAGGTAGCCTGGATGTAATATCTGAGAGGGAACTGAAATCATTTTCAAAATAAATGTAAGCACTTATAAACCAATCGTAAACTCCTGTTTTCAGATTTTACTCTTGGATCATCCAAAAAAGAAAATCAGGGACACTCAAAAGTACAAACCTTTTAAGAAGACTGTGAAGGTACGAGATACTTGTTTATAGTTGACAAACCATGTGCGCATGGACCAGTGTTGTTTATTATGTGATTGTTTTCTTTCTATTCTTTAGAGTGGTCGACCCTCGCTGAAACTCCTTTGTAAAGAAATACTCAACGTTAATGTCCAACAGGGTGAACATTCATCCGTAAGTCATCAACATATGAAACACAATTCTCAACAAACACTTTTAACTCAACAGAACATCCTGTACTCATCTCCCATTTCACTCTTTCGTTGTCTCTACAGGTCCAAGATGCACAGGCCACCATGAGGCTCTACACTCTGGTGAAAAAACAGTGGGAAGCAGAGATTAAAGCCAGCCAGAAAAACAAAGACTCAAACAAGAAGAATGAGAGAAAGCCCAAGTTTCCCAAGAACAAAGGAAAACATTAAGTGGGATTTTGAAATCAAAACTGCAAGAGGACCTTTTGTCCTTGGATCAGAGCCTGCCCGACTGAAACGATTAGAGGTTCAGGGATTGCTTTTGGAAGACAACAGCTACCAGGAGACATTGAAAAGTAGCAGATGTTGAACATTTGTGATATATCAGATGTTTTTCCCAGAAATCAGAAGGATGTTTTCAAATCTTGCAACATTAAACTTCCTCCATTGAGTGCTCATGAGAACTTCAAGAGAGAAACTATTTGTCTACTATGACACAAGGCATATTGTTTTTGGATTATGGTTCCGGTGTTGTGTGAATTGTTCTTTGTCTCTCACGTTTGTAATAAATTGATTCCTGGTTGCCTTAAAAGTTGTATGTTTTTAAAAGTATAAATTAAAAAAAAGAAAGAAATAGAAGGTTGATTGTTAAAAATGTGTTTATTGCTGGTTTGCAATGACCTTATTGATGGCCAAAGTTAAACCTTTTTTACCTCCAGGTGTTCTCAGACGCCCCCACGCTTGAGTTTTGACTTGGATTGGGGCCTTTCATAGTTGCGTAATCTTGTATAAATATGTGTTTTGTGTTTCCATTTATGTCATAGAGTGAGGGATTACGCTTCTTGTGTGCCCACAGTGTGTCAACGAGATTTGCTGCCCATGTTTAATGGAGAAAGTGCCCAGAAATTAAACCTTGGTCAGAAGAGCTCTAAATTAGACTCTCAAGGCCTCGATGAAAACTTTCCTTCTTCATCTTTCATCAAAGACAAAGCAAACACTGGCTCTAGATAAAGGCATTCGTGTTGTTTACGGCCACTGTAGTTGCTCCTTTGCATTTAGAAAAGTACAAGTCTAAGTGAGCGAGTTGCGATCTGCAATTACACCGATCCTACTAATTCATACACACTGGTCCTTTAATTATACCATCATAAAGCATCTTGACAAGGAACCCAGCAACTGAGTTCTAATCAATCAAATTTAGTATTACCTTACGTAAGCTCATCTATGCCTACTTTTTTATGTGGTGTTAATTTTGCTTTTTTGTTTCAGTGATAGTGATGAAGTAACATATTTAGGCTTCCTGTGTGCCAGAGGTATGTCAGTGTGAGTTGCTGCCCAGAGGTTGATACACATTGTGCACCACATTGCTGAATTGAAGCTGACGTCCTTGGTGTGCAGTCCCCAGGCTCTAAATTAAGCTCGATGTGGAGCTTGTCAGATGCCAGGCTGGCAGATGTTAGGCAGTTCATCAACTGTTAACTGTAATGTCTCCCTCTGGTGGTTAATCATTTAAAGACTGTATAGATAGATATTCCTTTATTTGTCCCACAATGGGGAAATTCCAAATACAACATATAGTAAGCATGTTTAAGACAATCGCAAAACTAGAGTATTTTTTGTGAGACTATGAATACAGTCTGTATTTTATACAACTGTAATTGAAAAGCTGCTTGGTTTGTGATATTTTAAAATATATTATGGATTTCAAAGTGTCACAACTATTTCTCTACTGGGAAATTAAAAAAGTGATTGCCAAACTAAAAGTCAGCAGATTATCAGAAAATTACAAGCATCCAAGGCTGATCATGATGATGTTGGACCTCACCTGTCTTTGTATCGAGGCCACTTTGCTTAGATCTTAACCTGGAGGAACAAGTGAGAGACTGGGGGGGTGTAACATTGATAAATAATGAAAGCTAATAGACACCATTTAAAGAGGGAGCCTAAAGTAGAGAGTCGTTCATTATGCAGTCAGTCTGGGTTTATGAGAAGAAGTCTGAAGTCTGAGTCAACTAAATTTGTTGAATTTAAAATAATCTATAGATTTTATTATTTTAGTTATCTGAACTTTACGCTGTTTTCAAAACAGCTAGGTCCTGTCCTCTACACATGTATGACTATTTACACACACCCACTCCGAAACAACCCTCTTCCTTTCCCATGTCATCTCAGGACACAATCTCTTGTGCCAGCTACCTACTGTCCTCCCCTGTCTTCATCACTATCTCCGGGCCATCACCCTCCAATTCAGACTGGTTATTTAGATCCTGGATCACTAATCTCTGCTATCAAAAAATTAAGACCAAAGGAATGTGTCCCTTTTTCAAAAATCTCCAGTGAATAGCAGTAACCTGATCCAGATTACCTGCAACAATTAACAGTCATCACAATCCACTCCGATTAAGATGGCTTTAATGAAAGCAAGGTCAGTCTGCAATAACACTTTTATCCTAAGGGACTAATTCACCGCTGTCTTTGCAGACCTTAGTAAGGATATGGCCTTCCCTGCCCAGACCAATGATCTAGTCTGCTCGTTTAACAAAACCTTTGTTTGTCTGCCCTGGATGTTATTGCTCCTTTTAAAAAGAAATCCTCTTGTTCTGTTAAATCATCCCCCTGGATCAACAATGACATACGTCTTAAAAGAGAGTGTATAAAGGTTGAGCGCAGAGGGAAAAGCACTAATTTGGAAGTTAATTTCATTCGTAAGAAGGAATTACTCTCATCTTTTAATAAGTAAGTAAAAGAGGCAAGGACTACTAATTTCTCCAACCTGATTAATTCTAATAAGAATAATCTTAGAGCCTTGTTTTGCAGAATTGACAGATTGGTGAACCCTGCCACTCCTCCTGTACTGGTTTTCTCAAATGTTGACTGTGAAATGTTTCTAGCATTCTTTGTGGATAAAGTCACTAACTTAGGTCTAAAATATCAGCTTCCTGTACACCTGGGGTTGATAGTCCAGGCCTTGCTTCTCTATTGACCCATTTTAACCTAATCTCTTTGGATGAATTTACAGCCACTGTTTCTCAAGTGCTTCATACTCAGGTTCTCTCGACATTGTTTCGACCTCTCTTTTTGATGTTTTTAGCTTTTTACGACCATACATATTCTCTATTGTGAATAAATCCCTTAGCTCTGGCTGTGTGCCCGATTATTTTGAACATGCAATCATTCAGCCACTTTCAAAAAAGCCAAACCTAGATCCAGCTCCCCAGTAACTATAGACCCATATCCATACTTCCTTTTATTTCTAAGGTCCTAGAAAGAGTTGTCTATAAATAACTTGTACATGTTCTGGACACCATTGAAGCCTTTGATAAATTCCAGTCTGGTTTCCGGCCAAGGCACCGTACTGAGCCTGCCCTACTCAGGGTTTTAATTGATATTTTAATGCACGCAGATGCTGGGCAATGTTCAGTCCTGTTGCTGCTAAACCTAAGTGCAGCGTTTGACACGATTGACCACGCTATCATCCAAAATAGGCTTCAGCAATCGGCAGGTATAACAGGGACTGCCCCTGACTGGTTTGCCTCCTACTTATCAGATAGAAGTATTTCTGTTACTATTTATCATCATGTCTCTTCATCTGCTCAGCTGTCGTGTAGAGCGCCACAAGGTTCAATCCATATACAGTACATGCTCCCCCCTAGGTTGCTTAATTAGTCGATTCAAGTGTATTTCCTGTCATTGCTATGCAGACGATACGCAGTTCTTTAAATTCAGACGACCTTAGCCAACTCTCCACCCTTCAAGACTGCGTAACAGCCATTAAGGACTGGATGTCAGATAACTTCCTCCAACTTAACCCTGACAAAACATATGTCCTCATAATTGGCCCTGAGGGAATTTCTGGAAAGGTTCAACAGGGTATTGGTCCATTAGCAGCAGATGTTGAGCAACCCTCAAAAAATCTTGGCGTTCTCTTTGACCACATGAGCTATCATAAGTAACCCAATGTTGTTTCCTCTCGTCTTGATTATTGCAATCCGCTGTTCACGACCCTAAGTCATTCTTCATTGTCCCATCTGCACCTGGTCTGCAATGCAGCTGCAAGTCTTCTCACTAACAAAAGTCGTAGGTCATACATCACTCCAGTACTGGCCAATCTACATTGGTTACCCATCAAATATAGAATTTATTTTAAAATTCTCCTACAAAGCACTGTATGGGCTGGCTTCACCTTATATTTTTGAGTTACTGTGTCCTCTGCCCTCGGTGAGATGTCTGAGATCTACTCACCAAGGCCTTCTGGTGGTCCCAAAATCAAGACTTAAAACCAAAGGTGATTGAGCCTTTGCCGTTGTGGCTACCACCCTTTGGAACCACCTTTCCTTCATTATAAAAAATGCATAATCAGTTGATAGCTTTAAGAAGTTTCTAAAAACTCACTTTATTCTGTAATGTGTTTTTATTGTAGTTATTTATTTTCTTATTTCTTGTTTTATACTCTGAATGTTTGTAGTTTTATTGTTTTTCTAATTTTTTTTTTTTTTTTTACAGCACAGCACCTTGTAACTCTGGGTTTGAAAAGATGCTTTATAAAGTTTATCATTATTTTTATTATTATTTACCTCACCAGAAATAACCACATAAGCATGTGCCATCGATGTCCTGAGAGCCCATATCTGTTTATTGTTGTCATCCAAAACTTTACACATTTCCAGGGAATATACAGTAGATACATTTAATGAAAATCAAACATTAAAGGTTTGACATAATAACATGAACACAGTAATGCAACCAATAGCAAATAACACCCTACTATCCGTACTTTCAATAGTGTGTATGAATGTGCATTGTTATGCTAAAACTATGGACTTCAAAACATACTCAATTTACTGTAATATGTAAATAATCTATAATGAATATGCAAGGGTCTCTCATTCAAAGTTTCCTGCTGTCACAATTTAACAAGCCAATATGTTTTATGTTTGTTTACAGATTGTAAGTTCAACAATGTCCCTCCACATTTATGTCAATGAATGTGTTTACATGCTTATGTATCCTGGTTACAATTAAGTTTTTGTAGTATCCCGGTTTTGAGAAACCTACTACTACTTACAGGAAATCTGAATAAAAACACTCAGTCAATGATTGATTATAAGGACGTGATTTCATGAACGTTTATTTAGGTACAGTGTTGCAATCCTTATACAAAACTGGATACTGTGGCATATAAACATCTTATCCATGTTTCTGAACATTCTCTGTTGCTACAGAACATATTGGCTTAACTATTGTTATTCTACACATAATAAGTTTGGATTTATTGTTTAGACTACATTAATTTTAAGTGTCATTTGAGTTTTTTTTGAATAAACAAAATAAAACCTTGAAAGAAAAAACTCTCAGTGCACTGAATGACTAATCAGGAATAATTAGGGATTAATTGCCCATTTATTTGATTGGATATTGGACTGCAAAATAGAGTTTTGGTTCTACATTGATTTCTTCATTGTGATTTCTAAGAATTGGGGAGTGTTTATGTAGCCATACAGTGTTGCAATCGTTATTTATCCATTGCTCAATCCGTCCTTGTGCTCCCAACATGCAGCATATTGTGATGCCTCGCAGGTAAGAAAAGAACAGAATTTGTCTATTCAGTCAGATATTGATGGTAAATTAAATCTTTCTGATTCATCTTTCAATCTCATCTGTCAATACCCTTCTCTCAGTGCCTTTTGGGACGATTTTAAGGTCTGTGTTATGATTTTATGTATATCCAGAGTCTTGGAGAACATCATATACAGTTGTGTGTCAGAACTGCAATTTTATTGTTATAAAATGATGGTTTCAGTAAGACTGTTGAAAAGATAATGAAGGTTTTGCTTACATTCTAACAATATTATAGTATTTGTGTATTTTAATTCTTCAGTTAATCAGGAAAGAGAGCCTTTTTAGCTTGTTCGAATTTTCCTTCTAATAACTGCAGTGCTGGAAATAACATGGTAATGGGACTGTATCCACTCGTTTAACAAATCTAATGACAGCTGTACTGTTGTTGCTAACGTGGCACTCAGTTTATGATTCAATATAATGTGTTCCATACTACTACTGTCTCGAATTAGAGTCAATATTGACATTTGTTGTGTGGTCTGTGGGTTTTAAACTCGCAACATATAAGCAGCAGCTCTTCAATGTTTGATTTGTGTGTCTTATTTAGTTCTCGCACCAAAACCAATTTTATATTCCTGTGGAACCACCTTCCACTGAACATAAAATATGTTACATACCTGAAGATCACTCCAGGTGTCATCAAACCTGGAGTGACATTTTTCATTTCTGTCGACCAAGTCAGTGGACACTGTGTTTCTATTAGTGAAGGACAACATCAATACAGATTATTGAACCACCAGTTTCTCATTGTCAGTCAGTCTTTGCATCCTCAAGGCTGCAATCTTTTATGTTTACCTTAAAGTACAGTCTCCATCTGTGCAAATATACTGTACATGGTAGATATGCAGCAAATACAGTATCTATTATAGGCTGTTTGTTGTTCCTTGCAATATTTTTTTTTTAAATCTAATGTATACAATGTCTACTAGCAATAAATATAATAACAACAACTGGAAATAATTGTTAACCGACAAGACTAAGGACATCATCACAGATCTGCTTTTTATTCCAAATCTTCTAGTCACCACACAATGTCTCCTCAAGTCTGCTGCTCTCTACTTTGTTATGCATGAGCTGCAGAATGCTGCCGCCAAGAGACTGACTGTGGATGTGTCTGTGTTGACTCTTAGGACGAACAAAGTTGAACATTCAGTATTTATGCAGGTTGATGAAGAAACACTGTCAGCTTCTTTCTGTGGATGACTTCCTGCTACATCTGTTCTGGTCTGGTGATATTAAGGGTGATGTTGCGATTGGCAGTTTTGTTGTTATTGGACATTGTGGAAATGTCTTAACAACTAATAATAATAATAATTCCAGTTTGTCCATTGCAAAAATGACAATCACATTTACGAGTGCTAATGTGCAACTGTTAGCATGTTAACATGTTAAACTAAGATGGTGAACCTGGGAGACTAAACACCTGCTGAATACACTGTAAACATTGTTGGCATGCTGATATTAGCAATTAGCCATTAGCACCGCTAAGCATGGTAGAAATTTTGTTCAAATTGGTTACCTTTAACAAACTGTATGCTAAATGCTATAGATAGTGTATAAACACTACAGACTTTGCTGGGATGGCTCTAGCTGCTGTTTCAACAGCTTGAAATATGTAAGAATTTATTGAGTACAACACCTGTATAAATCTTGTATTTGACCGATCCTAGTCGGTGCTGCAGGGGTTTGGGGGGTTGTAAATGAACAAGGAGTGATATAGTGCAGAATAGAGTTATGCATTGTTTCCTGAGGGTGCAGAAAACAGCTCTAAAACTCACACTTAGTGGAGACGTTAGTTGGGAGCCACATAAGGTGAGACTTGGTTCCTAAATATTTGACATACAAAATACATAGAGAAAAAGCAGCTGTACAAGATTTTGCCTATATGAATGCAGCTCATGCTCAGAGTAACTTACAGTTAACAGTTAGGGATGAGTGTCTGTATTAAGTGCCTCTATTTGTGCACATATTAAGCATATCAAATGTTAAAGTAAAGTGATTTATAAGTTATGAGGTCTTTTGCAGGAAGATACAGTGATTATGTATTTAGCACGGAGAAGCCTGACCTTTATCCTGGTAGAGTTTGTTCACGTTTTTTCTCCAGTGAGGTTGTTGGAGACTGTAGATCTGTGCAGCAAATAAAATCATTCTCCAAACCTATTTGAAAACAGACCTTTTGTAGTTTTAAATAGTTAATTTGCCAGCAACACAATCTCCTTTTTACTAATTCTAAATGCGCTTACAAAAAAAAACCCCTCTCGCTGTGTCTCCTTTACTCATCCTTTTTCTGTCCGCACTTTGCTCTTACAAGAACATTGTGTGGTCAAAGGCAAATGCTACCAAAGCAATAGCCTTTTGTCCTTTTAGTACTGTTGTAATTTTTATGAGGCAAACTCATTGTGAGTTTCCTGACAATAAGTGCATCAGCAACATTGCAGATCATTATACCTCCACTAGAATAAGACTCAGACCAGTAGGCCTCCAGCAAAAACAGTGCCTGCAATTCAAAATGCTAAAATAACAAGTCATTGTGTATGTTTAAGCCTCAGTCACTTACAGTTCTTAAAGAGACTGGAATAATCTGGTATTTGTTCCTGCAGCTTGTCTTGTTTCAGAGAAAAAAAAGTAAGATAGACAGATCTGTTGAGATTTTTTAAGGATAGAGAGCAAAAATAACACAATCAACAGTGTTTTCCTTCTTATTATTATTAGTCTCATTACTATTACTGAACATATTACTCCAGACTCTGTCATATAAGTCACCTGCTCCTCTGCTACCACATGACTGCTGATGTCAGCCAAGCCAAAGTCAAGGCTGGAAACCTGTAGACAAAATGGTGTTTGTGCGTCCGTCCAGCAGAGTGAGCATGTGTGGGCAATGAAGGCTAAGTGGGGAAAGAGAGAGAGGGGGGGAGAGAGAAAAATAAGCAATTAAAAAGATGGCAATACACCAACACAATCTTTCCTCTTATAGCCCTGGCGTGTGTATTTTTTTTTTTTCTTTACAGCATATGTATTTATGAAGTTCAGCAGCCATATGAGAAAATTAGCCTCTGTATTCACCGGGGTCCTCCCACCCCTCTGTCTTGTTCTCTAATCCGCCCACATGTATCGTCTGAGGAAATAAATAGTGCAGAAGGTGACGCTCCTCCAAAGGAACAGAGAGAGAGAGGCTCAGAGAGAGGGAAAGGCAAAGAGAGAGAAGTGTCTACAGGCTGCATCTCCATTGAAACATTTGGAAGAGGGGGAGACAGAGGAAGAGCTGAATGGTAGCTACACCCTGCGCCTGGAAGCGTAGAGACACTGTAACAAAGGCTGGCAATTATTTTTGGCAATAACAAAGAGGTGGGAGAGGGGCTCTGAAATCGAGGGAAATAGCAAAAAAAAGAGAGAGCCAGTTTTCAGGGGGACTTCTGCTTCATTTCATCCGAAAGACTCATTCCTTGCCATCATCAGCATGACCATAAGCTATAAGTAACATTCGGCAATAACGGTGTCAAAACGAGATTTTCCTCAACAGACGCGCGCAATCCTATTCTGATTTATTATAATCAGGAGAAAAAAAAGATCAACTGAATGCCTGCGAGAAACTGGATACTCTCTGAAATCATAAGAAAGAGCGATCTAACAAAGAAAACTACATTTTGATTGATCTTTTAAGCTTGATGTGCGTGTTTCTGCACGCACTCGAAACGAACCTGAACCAAAAGCAAGTGAGTATTAACCGTGTCTGTGTATATGTCTGTATTTTGGTGGCTTTATTCTGCCTTTATCTAATAACAGAGCATTTATTGGCCGGCCCTAAAAGAAAAAAATAATAATAATCCAGCGTCTAGCCTACATTCAACAAGTATCGTTTTGTCCATAATAACTGCGATTTCTTCTCCCGCAGCCTGTTTTTGTGTTTTGATGAATATCTGGAGAAATCAGAATGTGTGCAACATTGTTCACATTGTAATCATAAACCTCCTCACTGTATTATTTTATTCTAATTTCTAGCTGCTAAAACACACGGAGAACTGTTCTTCTACCCAGTCGGATTTATATATATATATTCAAACGCCCCAAGAAAATAAATGTGTAAATCCTAACATTCCTCATTGCACAAACGGTGGGTGTTTCCCCATCTACACCACTAAATCCGAGCAGTTTCATGCCTCTGAGGGGAATGTTTGTATGCATTCCTCCCTGCATCATTTTGTGTCTGTCTGCGTGAGCAACTATGCCCATGTGTGTGTCACTTTGTACATTTGTATGCATGCATTTGTTTTGCTTGCATGTGCCCCCCAAGTGTATGTGTGTGTGTGTGTGTGTGTCAGTGTGTGTGTGTGTGTCAGTGTGTTTATGTCTCTTGTGTGTGTTCCTATGGCGGAGTGGCAGCACTGGGCAAGTGTCAAGGCCTGAAATGGAGGTTTGATAAAGGAACCATATGAGGAGGGTGAGAGGGCTGACAGAGAAACACACACAGGAGAGAGAGGGAGAGGAGAAGAAGGTGTGAGGAAGAGATGGATGGGGTTGGGGAGGAGGGGGGCACTGGAAGGACATAGCGTCACTGAGATCTCATCCAGGAAGTCTATGGGGGCAGTTAAATGTCTAGACGTGGACTTCTTCCCCTACAGCCTCCCGCCACCACATTGTATATGCTCTGTCAACTTGCTCCATCTGCATTCCACTGCATTACACACAAAGTCTCTAGTTTCATAACGCCTCCTCTTCCTCCACTTTCCAGCACATGCCTCTCTTTTTCCGCCAACTGGCTCCAGCGTGCTCATCCCCTGATAGGAACTCTGCCTCTCTTCCTCCATTTGCCCCCCCCCCCACCACACCTCCTCAATCCTGCATTATGAATCTACAGCTGATGCTATTTTTAGATTGAGGGTAACCTAGAAAACACCCCTTCGATTTTAGCAACAAAAAAAAGGAAAAAAAAACCCACCAGAGACAGTGGCATGCTGTCAGTGGATGTGATTGGTAGAGTAGTGATAGGGCTCAAAAAGGAGAACGCTGCTGTTTGAGCAAACGGTGGGGGGGGGGGGATAAATCTATTTTGAGGCTGTGATTGAATTACGCATCTGTCGTGTCCGGGGTTTGTGTGCGTGTTCTTGCCTCTGACCCTTCCTCTCTCCTTGGCCGTGATGGTTTCTCTCTCATCTCACGTCTTCGCACCATGCTTCGGAGAACTTTGCCTCCGTCCTTCAGCTCCAGCTGATCTGGCCTTTTTAAACCCCCGTCTGTGTTTCCAATCCTTGACCTTGAGGCTCACCTCGATCTCACCTTTCATCTTCTGACGTCTATTATGTTTCCACATCCTCTTTGTTTTATTTCTTCACATTGGAACCCAGCTACTCCTCCCTCCTCGCCAGCTCTAGTCTAATCTGTGACTTCCCTACCCCTCCCTCTATGTCTAATTGCTGGCTAGTTCACAGGTCAGGAGTCAGTGCGGTACTACTTCTTCCCTCGCCCCGTTTGTCTGTCTGGTCCCATTGCACTGCTGGATCATAATGGTCTACTCATGCAGGAAGGGCAGTGTCATTAATTAGGAGCAGACAGGTTTAATAGACCTAAGAGAGAGTTGGGAGGTGTGGGGGTTAAAGCTATTTGCTCCTGATGCAAATTCTAAGAACCAAATACTGAGGGATATTGGGTCAGGTCCAAAAATAGAGTTTCTTCCCGACATGACACACTATCCCATAGGTTTTTCCCCCTGCACTCTGTGCTGTTTCCTAATTTTGTGACCTCTCTTACACCAACATTGCTCCTTGAAGGGAGCTTTAGGACCGCTTCTTCCGTCACTCCCTTCACCCTACATCATGTCTCACCCAGTGGACATATCTATCCAAAAAATCGCAACATTTATCCTCCTGTGGGCAGGAAGGATTTTAGTCGTGGCTGAGCTTTCAGAGCTCTATTACAGGCTTCATTTCTGCTAGTCTATTCCTGAAAATGGCCTTATGTATTAATCATCTCCAGCCAGCTAAAATGAGAAAACCAGGAGCACATGGTTCTTTTTCTTCCTCTCATAAAAAAAGGAAAAAAAGTAGACTGGAGGGGATCATGGCAAGAGAGCAGCAGCAGTAGATTGACCAATATGCACAAGACTCAAGACCCCCGAGGGGGTGTTGCTGCAGTATGTGTGGATTGGTCAGCCCCTGGAGATCTCCATGCTGGTGTTGCTGAGTAGAGGAGCTGCCTCTGGTAGCTGGCCATTTCCTTTCTGCTTGCTTAATTGATTGGCTGTTTGATTCCTGTTTTGGGAATTGCCCGCTTGTGAGCTTTATTATGATGATAAACAGTTTTTTCCCTCCTCTGTGTACATTAGCTGTCTCAGAGCTATTGGATCATTGTGTGGCTTCACTCTCTGTTTTTCTCTGCATATGCAACCTGTTTTTTTTTCCTTCCCCCTGCATCCATTCATGATATTCATATCATTTTCATTCTTACTCATACACTGCATACCTCTCGCCACTACCCTCACACATGCACACACCTTATCTGGCTTCTTCTTCTCTCCTAGCAGAATCAAGAGTTACACCGTGAGGTGCAATGACAATTCGAGAGGGGAGAGGACACTGTGTGGTGTGACACCGCACTAAAAGGGGAGGTGACCGCAGTGCTTTCACCGCGCTGCAATGCCTCGCTTTCTCCTGTTGGGGTCTCCTTAACACTGGGGAGTGCGTGAGAGAGGAGAGGAGAGGAGAGCAGAGGAGAGCAGAGGGAGATATGGAAGAGATGAAGGGGAGAGGAATGAGGAAAGGAGGGAGGGAGGTGATATGGGTGGAACAGCATGAAGCCTTGTGGTTACATCCTTTGATGAGGTAGCGGGTGGGAAAAAAATGGCTGCGCACCAGAAACACATACGTAATTCGTGTTATCTCTCCCTCTCTCTCTCTCTCCCTCACACACACACACACACACACACACACACACACACACACACACACACATATATTACACACTTGCCTGCAAAGTCCTCCTTTTCCCCAGTGGTGTATTTGCCACTTAGTTCAGCTGTATGTCTGTTTTACATCCCTACACTCTCTTAATCACTCCGCTGTTTCTGTTCCTCTTATTAGTATTGCAGACCATTTCCCCGCCCCCTACACCTTTACAGCCATTCAGGTGCTCTGCTGCTGCAAGGAATTTTTCCTGTCTTCTCCCTCTCCTCCCCCACCTTTTTTTTCATTTTCCCCAAGATCGCACACTCTCCTCTCTCTCTCTCTCTCTCTCTCTCTCTCTCTCTCTCTCTCTCTCCTCTACCTTACCTATCAAGCCCCCCTCCCCTACCCTTTCCATCCTTTTCTCTCCATCTCATCTCATCTCATCTCACTGCCCCATCTCCCCTCTCCCCCTGTAATTGGTAAAGGTTTTTGCTTTTTCTGCCAACTGCTGGGTCGGTTCCGCATAGTCAGCACTCCTCCAAATAACTCCCTTGCCTTCTCTCCCTGTCTTTCCCTTTCTCTCTCTAGTGTGCCCTCTCCTCCCCTCCCCCCTGTTACTGCTGGTACCTCACAGTCAATGCATCCCATAATCCTGTGCTCCCTCCCCCTCTTGCTGCAGTGTTTCTGCTAATATATATTAGCGTCAGTGCAGCCTTCATGCACGAGCCGTGTGTATGCTCTTTCTCTCTATCAGCTCCATTCTCTCTATCTATCAGTCCACTGCAGAAATGATCTCCTCTCTGTGAAGGTTCAGAATGATTAAACCTCATTTCTGGTCATTTCTTAGCCTGTTTGTTGCAGCCAGGTGAGTGTGTGTGTATGTGTCTCCCTTTCTCGCTCCTCCTCGCTTTCTTTACCCTTGTGTGTGTGCAGTGGTGAGGCAGTAGTAGCAGGGTGGCGCAGGACATGGTGGCCAAGGCAGGAAATGCTGCAGGAGAGAGAAAGAGAGGTTTTGGGGGAGATTGTTCCTCGTCTCTACTCCTCTGCCTCAGTTTTTAGCCTCTTTCTCGTGCATGCCCCCTTTCTGCTTTCCCTTTCCTCTGTGCTTCTTTCATCTCTACTGCATCTTCCTCCATTTTACACCCAACGCTTACCTTCTGCAGCTACAGGCCCCCTTCCATACCTTTCTTCCTCCTTATGCTGTCCCCCCTCAGCTCCTGTTTTTTGGCTCTTAAAGAGATGTGCTTACCGCCCCCATTCTAAGCTGAAACACTCAAACTGCAGTCATTCTCCTGAAATGCAACTAGAAAGCATTAAATTGACATGCCCTGAACTCATTAAGATCAGTAATATGGTCTTGTTGACAACTACTTTTACACAAACTTCAAATTCAAATTTCAGGACTAAACAGTGTAACTAGTCCTGAAGAAAAATGAGAAGAACCTAACAGCACCCTATCCCAATCAACCTCCAAATTAGTCTTAATGCATAAAAGAATACTTCAGTATTTTTTAAAAAATCAATAAGCTCACCACACATGACTCAGAGGGAACAAAAAAGCACTTAACCACAGTTACAGACTTGTGGCTGTCCGTGTATAAAATATTCAGCAGTTCACCAATAAGACACAGCTGCCTGTGAAGTAGAAGCAAGAGGTGCAGAGTTACAAAGTGAAGTAAAAAAAAAAAAGTAATCCAAGGGATACAACTTTCACAGTGAGATCATAACAGCTGCTTCTGGAAAGTTTAGTATCCCATTAGAAGGAGTTTGTCCCAGCCAGTGAGAGAGAGAGAGCACCGCTGTCCATGGTGCTGAAATGTAATCCCTTTCACAACACAAGCAGTCCCTGCTGGAAAGCCCCACAGGACAACGCTGACTATAGACAAAAATCTCTTTACACTCTCCCTGCCTGACCTCACTTCCAAATAGTTTAGTTTTAGATGTTATTGCAAGTTATTACTAAATCAAATTAATACTGATTTCAATTTAGCTGCACAGATGCAGCCAAACCTACTTTGGTACAGTGATGCAGTACAACTCTAAAACTCAGGAGTGCAGGATTTTTTTTTTTTTGTCAAGCAAGCAGATTTGATGCTCCTGCAGCAAACACTGCAAAGACTTAGAGGGAAACACACAAGATGCATTTATTTAAGTTTTTAGTAAGATTTGTGCCTTAATTTTTACCACTCGGACTGCGTATCCATGCAATAGCCTTGGTCTTTAGATCTTACCTCAGTGCTGTTAAGTCTTTGCAGGATCTTCAAAAATGAAAAAAAAAAAAAAAATCATACAAAGAAGTCAAAATAAATTCTGAAAAAAAACCCTCATGTACATATAAGACCTTAAAAGAGACAGCAAACTTTTCCATGAACAAAAAGTTGTTTCTTCAGATAAAAAGTGCAGTGAAATGATCAAAACATCATAAACACTAATAACAAGTAAGAAATAAAGGATGCAGTGTCCCACATAACAGAAAGCAAAATGTCTGAAGGGGAAGAGGAGGAGAGAGTTGACCCAAAGTGAGGGAAGCTTACTTTGGAAAGGGGAAAGAATGGGACAGAAGAATGGGTGAAGCAAAAGAGGGTAGAAATAGAAGAAAGATGCATTAGAGTAAAATGCAGTGGAGGTGTGCAGAAGAATGAGAGAGAGAGAGAGGAAAAGGGGGCACTGGATAGGAATAAGACCATGTTGTGAGAGGAGGAAGAGGAGGAAGAAATGAAGCCTTGATTCTCCTCCTTCAATGAAATGTGATTCCTTTATGCGGAATATGAGAGCGAGCAAGGGAGAGAAAGTGAGGGAGAGAGAGAGTAGTAGGAGGGAGAGGGGGAGGGCCAGTGAGAGCTCACAGGAGAGGAGGGGGAGGAGAAGAGTGGTGCATTTCTTTGAATAGAAAAAAAGGTTAACAACATAGATACGGTGCATTTGTGGGCTCTTTTAAAATATTTTTTTTTTTGCTGTGGACACATATCTTTCCTGAAGCCCCCCCCCCATGGAGAGGCAGCTCACGGGCGAATAATCTGACCTCGCTGGGAGAAGGAGAAGGAGAGAGAGAGAGAGAGAGAGAGAGAGAGCAAATAACTGGCTTTTTACTGCAGCAGAATTCATTCACTTTTATAGTGCACTCTCCTTTTCGATGCTCTTCCTCCTCCCCCTCTCACTCTCCCTTCAACCCCCTTCTTCCATTAATAGGGAAGAGATGATATTACACTAGTTGTTCACTGTATGAGTGTGCTGCATTCACTTTTTGTCCCTCTCTTCCTTTTCTCTCTCTTTTCACCCCCATCTTCAGCTCTTTGTTTTCCTCATTGTTCTGTCCTTTTCGATCCGTCCGTTAAAACAATCTGATTTATGGCCTCCTCCTCCCCCCCAACATCCCCCCTCTACATGTCTTTACATACACACACACACACACACACACACACACACACACACACACACACACACACACACACACACAGTGCATGGGAAGAAGTGGCAGAGAGAGCATTGACATAATTGTGCATCGCATGAATCTCAGTGCGGTCGGAGGGGGCTGCAGCAGTGTGTGTAGCACGCACATAGGCTGATTGAGGAGATCTAACATTAGTACGGACACCGCACTCTCGGGAGGCAATTAACACACACACACACACACACACACACACACACACACACACACGGTGCTGCGCCACCTTACGTCAGACAGGCATTATGGAGGAAGGGGAAAAGAAGCAGGGAGATGGATCCCCAGTTTTCTCCCATCTTTCCGTTACTCTTTCCTCCTCACACACTCTTGGGTGCTCAAGCAAGGAAAAGAGCGGGGTTGGGGATGGATGGAGAGGGGCAAGTGTGTCTGGTGTGTGTGTGTGTGTGTGTGTGTGTGTGTGTGTGTGTGTGTGTGTGTGTGTGGTTTTGTGTGTGTGGTGGGGGTTCTCAAGTCTCACCATGGCCTAATTAGGGAGAGGATTTGAATGAACACTGACTTGAGCGTCAACCAGATCAATTTAGAGATTGCCAGCTTGAGGAGAAGATTCAGTGATGCTTGGAGTAATAGCTCAGTAGAGGAAATGAGGATGAGGGATGGTAACAGTGGGGTGACCCCAGGCCCATTATACAGGCTGGGGCATCTTCTCCTCAGTGGGGTGTCAACAAATCAGTCAGTGAGGATGCTGACTCATGAACGTGCTCAAAGCCACCTGTTCTAATATGTTGCACTGATAAGTCGGAGGCATCTTAGTACGCCAGGTTGTTGTTGTTGTGTGTTAAAAACAACTTTGCCACCCCTCTTTTTCATGCCAGTCCTCCGCCCACCACCCACCTCGTCACCCACTGCACCTGCACAATGTCATGCTGTGCCCTTCCATCAGCTGATTATCAAGTAAATGATTGCACATACAGCTGGCATTAGCGTATGGTTATTCATTTGTATTGCAATGTTGATAATCCACATCTATGTCTCCCTTCTGCTAAAATTTCTGCCCCTTTTCTCTCCCCGCAGACTCCTCAGACTCCTCCCTCCTCCTCCCTTCGGTTTCTCTCATCCTCTCCCTCCCTCCCGGTCCTCTATGCTCAGTTCGGTGTGTGTATCCTCTTTCAAAGGGCGCAAGGGTGGGAACAAGTCGTCCAACAAAGCATGTTACAGTGCAGACATGACTTGTCCGTCGGAAAGCGAGAAAATCGTGATAAACTGCGGGGGGGTGCGGCATGAGACCTACCGGAGCACCCTAAAAACGTTGCCCGGCACCCGCTTGTCGTGGCTCACCGAGCCGGACGCGTTCAACAACTTCGACTACGACCCCAAATTAGACGAGTTCTTCTTCGACCGCCACCCGTCAGTGTTTTCCTTCATCCTCAACTATTACCGCACCGGGAAGTTGCACTGTCCCAACGATGTGTGCGGCCCCCTTTTCGAAGAGGAACTGGCCTTCTGGGGCATCGACGAGACGGACGTGGAGGCGTGTTGCTGGATGAATTACCGGCAGCACCGGGATGCAGAGGAGGCGCTGGACAGCTTCGAGAATCCAGAACCGGACGCGCCGGACGAAGACACGGCCCTGGGCGGTGCGGATGGGGACTTGAAAAGACTGTGCATGCAGGAGGACGCGAGGAAATCTGGCTGGTGGAAAACCTGGCAGCCCAAAATATGGGCACTGTTTGAAGACCCGTATTCCTCCAAATATGCCCGGGTGAGTTACCCACGTCTCTCCTGGAGGGACCAACTTCTTTCTGCACTGTTGCATATTCTGCCTCATGATGTCTCAGAGCAAAGCCTGAGTGATGATAAGTTTTTGAAACTTTGTTTTTTAAATGTTCTGTCCACATTATATATGATAAACCAGTCTTTCATTACCTGCAGGCCACCGACTGTCGGTATGTGTGTCATCCCTGCCACTAGATAGATGATAGATACTTTATTTATAATTGTTTAATCATTCATACTGATAGCATAAGAAAGTGGAAAATGGTATGGCAGCTATATCTATTGGTTGATGGGTAGTTGATATAACAACCAAGGTTTTTGTCAAACACATCACCTCCATGTCTTATATTTGATATATTGCATGTTTCAGACAAGCTGGATTCACACTGAATACCGGTTTTATTGCTATCATAATTCCTATCGCCGTATTCTGCTACTTGAACAGGTTTCATACATATCTGCCTCCAAACACAGCATCCCCTTCGCTTCCTGCATCCAAACGCCTTCATTAGGTCGTATTTGTCCGTTTATGATACACATTAATGCGCCGTATTTCATGTTAGTCTTATTTATTGTAGCACCGCACTGGGGAGGCTCATACGACGTCTTTTCCCCACATTTGCCCTTAGTAGTGCTACAGTCTGCTGGTTGTTTTTTTTTTTTTTGCCAGTCCCCCCATGTCCCAGTTGAATGCTACATGGCTTTTACGCACGAGCTTTATTGTTGTTACGCACAACTTGTTCCAATGGTGGAATATCCTATTATTGTTTTCATGTTAATAGTTAATGAATTACCTCTTAAAAGCAAACGTTTGATGGCATTTGATCATACAGGTGTATGAGTAACAAGTTCTCCTGACTGTGTTTTTGATCCCTGGCACATGAAAACAGTTGCTGTGGGCTTGTGGTTCTTTTTTCTCAGACCCTCCAGTTACAGACGAATCCAGCTGCTTGATCACAGCTGCTTTGATTTGAGTTGTTTTGTAATTCCCCTTTGTATTTTTATTAGTACCATTTTTCTTTTCTGAGTGTGTGTGAGGACCCATAGATATTGTGAATGCATGCATCCTGTAGGTGCACATGCAGAACCAGACAGTCAGCAGACACCTGCAGTGGCTGATTCATGCCATCATACCGAAAATAGCTGAAAAAAAGAAAAGAAAATTAAAACATAAATCACTGCACACTCAGCAATACATCCTGTATCAACAATCACAGATAGACAATAGCTGCACACACAGGCACTTACCCACTGTTCCCAACACACACACATATACACACACACACAGCTCTTCTGGCACCAGGTATAGATCTGGATTCAGTTCCCTCCAAAGGAAGAGGAAAGTGTCGGGCTGTGACGGACAGATAGTCTGGTTTAGGCCACCTGATCCGCCTCTCTGGACTTGGGATCAGGCAGGAAGTGCTTCTCTAACTGTCGCTCTCATCCCAATCGAATTGATTTCTTACCATCCCACCCCTCTCTACCCCTACTCTATGCAATAAAACAGCTCACACTGAGGCAGCTCTCTGCAGACTGCCCAAATGTTGCATGAGAAAGAGAGAGATATCTTCAGTGTTTGGATTGTGTGTTTAAGAATAAGTGGATTTGGTGCTGAATTCTGAATTATCATAGAGCGAGAGGAGACAGCGTTTGCAGCATTGCTATACTTCAGATTCAAGCTACTGTACCTGCTGCCTGTCTGCTAGAATGCTGTATATTATGTAATGTACAGTTTTACACCGGATCAACTGGTTACAGTGGCCAAGATCTCATGAATCATACAAAAACTATTACTCATTAAGTGTAATGGTTGCAGATGGTGGTGTTTCTGACGCTACGGTGGGGTTATGCAGAGTACAGAGCAGGTAGTTGGTGGGATTCATTTCAGTGGCTGCACAACACCAGCACTATTTTTGGGTGAATGCAGCCCCATTTCTCTCTGTAGGTCTAATATGCCAGCGCTATACGTCAAACAGCGTTGTGACCCAGATCATTCTGGGTTTCCTTTTTTCACCCTCGCTCTTTCCAAAAGTATCCCGTCCGACGTGGCAGAACCTTTTGGTCTTTCTGTCCTGAGAGATGCAAATTATATGAGGAGAGAAAAGAGAGATGGAGAGAGGCTAGGACAGAAAAAATGAGATGCCGATGTGGAAATACAATGAGACAGATGAAAGAGAGACGGAGAGAGGAATAGGGAGACGAGAGGAAATAGACAGGAGGAGAGACGTTACTCTAATGATTTAAGGGGGTTTTGTTTGCATGGTTGTGATGTAACGCATCAGCAATCAATGTTTTGATCAGAGCGTTCGACACACATGCAGGGCTTTTTCATTCATTTTGAAAAAAACATCTCACCTCCTTCTTCGCTCATGATCGTGTGAGGCTTGCTTGTGGATCTACCGTAGTGGCACACACACATGTACAAACACACACATGCTGGTGTCTGTGCTGGATTTTCTGCTGCAGTAGACACGGGAGAGAGGAGGGGGAGCACTGGAGGAAGAAAAAACAGGTGGGGGGGTGGTGGTGGGAGTGAGAGGGATAGACAGAGCAAGGGAAATGGAGAAGGGGTGAGATAGTGGAGAGAAATGAGATGGGAAAAGGGACTGAAGGGGAGCCTGAGAGGGACACGGAGGGAGACGAAGAAGAGGAAGAGGGGTTTTGAGATAAACAGGGAGGAGGTGACAACCACAGGGAGAGAGAGATGTTGCATGATGGGGGTGGGGACCCTCGTCTTTGTATCTTCGATCATCTGTGGAGGCTTGAGCCATCCAATCTTCCTACCCTGGCCCCCCTGCCTGCCTATTGATTGATAATCAATTGATTATCTTCTCCTTTTGTCTGTTTTTAAAGCAATTCTCTCTTTCTTTATCACCTCATAAAATATGACACTGCTTACAGGGACTATTGGATGGTAACACGATGTTAATCCATTTCCAAAATTTATGGATGTCTATGCTTCTGTTTGATGATCTGTTATACAATACGATTTGCATCTGATTTCTTTATTGATCGGTGTCAGGTTGATATAGATCGTGCAGTGCAGCTAAAATGACATGGAGCTGTTATATCATGTTTGACATTTGTTTTAGTCTTGGCCCATTTTGTCCCTTTTGTTTAAGGATTTTTCTAATTTACTGTTTTAAACTCTAATCTGCGTGAATGACAATGATTCCACTGAATAACCAAGGACCCACCAGTATTGATAAACTGCTTTGTTGATAAATTGTTTTATTATTGAACCTGCTGAGTGATCACTGTCACTCAGCAGGTTGAATATTTGGTGTTAAACTAAGATGAAGAAGATATTGTTTGAGGGTTAAATAGCCGTTAAGATAAGAGCTCTTATGGAAAAATTAAATGGTACTATTACTGAAAGGAATATTGAACATTTCAGTGTTGTTGAATATGTCAGCTGCAAGTTATACACTGATATACAAAGGAAAAGGCTTTATTGGACATAAAAAGTCTGGATAAAGAAGGTTAAGTTAAATAGATGTGACATTGAAAATTAATGCAGAGTAAGTTCTCATATAAATTCAAATATCAGATTCATAAAATTTTCTAAAAACGATTTTCTTTAAAAAGAAATACCTTGTTTACCCTAGGATAATGTATGAAATCCAACGCGGACTATCTAGATGTTGTCCTATAATGTAGTCCCACTGTCCGACAGTATTAGCTGTGTTTTGGTAAATTCCAGTTTCGCACCAGAAGGGCACAGTTGTCTTTGTCAGCAATCTCCTGACAATGCACTATTTGTAGCTCAGCATGTACAAGATGCCCCTTTGCCCCCTCCAAATCGTACTTTGTGTGCCTGTATTTGATTCATTTTCGGGGGGAGCAGTGCTGTGTCTGGAGCCCCATATCCCTGAAGGTCATGTCTTGTGGTTCATTGTTTGCTGTTGCCTCAGTGTTCAGTGCTGGAGCGCACTGTGCTGTCATAAACACAAATGTGACCTGCCTCTGTGCTGGACGGCTTCAGAACAGGTCGTCTCTGGGCGGAAACTCACTGTGCTGGACAGAAAATAAAAAAAGACGTATTGATAGGCGTTAGTGTATATATAGATAAGGTGTTGGTGAATGGTGTGGAAAAAAAAGATCGTCCTGGGCGTGATTTGGGTGACATTACTGTTTCTGTCGGGGACATTTCATCACATTTTTAAGGGAGAAGACCTTTGCGACCGAGAAATTAAGTTCTGTGTGGGTTTTGAAATACAAATGTAAGGTTTTTACTTAAAAAACTTGTCAGTAAAGTCTTACATTTCATTTTCAGTAAAGCTTGTTGCCCTCTTTCGTTTTTAACCAGTATCAGACTCATTTCACTAGGTCACTTCTAATTTTGAATAGTCTTGTGAGATTTTTGCACTAGTTTTGTTTGCCCCAGAGCCACTTTGTTCCACGTAGAGTACGTCCCAACTCTAGTTCTAATGGCAACTGTGATGAAGGGTTGTGCAGGTTTTAACCAATCACAACAAACCCTGGACTACCTTGCCTTATACTTCTCGTTATTTGTTATGTATACCCGTTATGCTTTAGGGAGTTAACAGCACAGCTCCCATTATTATCTGTATCTTACAAAAAAAGGTACATCTCACCCTAAAGACATCCTTCTGAGTGTATGAATATCCTGTTTTTAACCTCAAAGCTTTAGCTTCCCTCGCCAGTGTCCCAGTGTCAGTGATGAAGTGAAATGGAGATGATTTTTCTCTACTTTAATGGTGTTTTTTTTTTGTGAACCGAAAGGTCTTAAGTGCGTTGATTTAAACTTTTACTTTTAGCAGTGGGGTTCATGCTTCATGCTTCCAAGTTGTTTCCATTCAAGCCCTGACCCCGCTGTAAGGCCTATTTCCCACTTCCATTCTTGTTCTTCTCCCTGTGGGCTGCATCTGAAAATAGCAGAGCAAAAGAGAGGGAAAGGAGGCCTTAATCTATTCCTCCATTACTGGGGAGAGGAGTATTTGTATGACCATTGAGTACATAAGC